TTGTTGAGGTTTTGCTTCCCAGCATCTGTCAACAGTTTGGCTCACATAAACACAAAATTCTTTACAGGTCTGAATGTTTTTTACATTAACACTGTCTAGCAGAGAGAGACAGCCATGGAAACAACTAAGTCCAATAGTGTATTACAGATTCTTCTATAAAAAGTCTTCGCAAGGTACAGGAAAGATACCCAATAGGGGTGATCAGATGTGACTAGGACACCAAAAAGGCCAAAGGCATTTGTGCTGATGAGGAGAGGTAATTCCAGGTAAGGAAAATAATCAAAGGTGAAAAGGTGTAAAATGCTAGTCATTTTACTTGTCCCAACCACTGATGATGACCTTTAATTATATTGTCTTATTTATCACTTAGCTGCTTTGTATAATAACAACATTTCAGCACCATTCTATGTTTAGAATGGAGAAATGTTGGGAAGAGATTCTTATACTTTAAAAAAATATATATTTTTATTGATTTTTTACAGAGAGGAAGAGAGAGGGATAGAAAGTTAGAAACATCGATGAGAAAGAATCATCCATCAGCTGCCTCTTGCACACCCCCTACTGGGGATGTGCCCACAACCAAAGTACATGCCCCTGACCGGAATCGAACCTGGGACCTTTCAGTCCACAAGCCGACGCTCTATCCACTGAGCCAAACTGGTTTTGGCTACTTGTCCCATTCCTGGCCATGGGGTGATTTAGGGCAGGGGAAAATATTGGCTTGGTGTGTGAAAGTTAGAGGCCTTGGATCTGCCAGTCTGTAAGTGAAAGGTATGTCCCAGGCAACCTGTCCACCCCTCTCCCTGCCCAGGAATTAGCCCTGGGAGGGACAGGCTTTCCCTGGGTCTAAAAAGCCCCTGAGAGATGTCAAAACATCATAAGATAGAGAGAATAAAAAATAAAAACCAGAATGAATGTAACCTACTGGATCAATTTCTTGCTTAGCTACCAGTGTACCTCCAATGCCACCTGGACTTGTCTCTCCTCAACTCATCTGTAATATTGGGGCATGAATCTTCAACCTCTGCCACGAGGTCATTGTGAGACTTAAGTGCAGTAGCAGACACTTCATCAATGACAGCTGAGTGAACCGTTTCACCAGTCTGAGTGTCAGTAACCCCACATCACTTTTTTTCCATCATAGTAGCCTTTTTATAAGTGTACAGTTCCTTGGCAATAAGTATTTTCACCTTGTTTGTGCAACCATCACCACCATCCATTCCCATAACTCTGTTCATTTTGTAAATCTGAAACTCTGTATCTATTAAACAACTAGAGGCCCAGTGCACAAAATTCATGCACAGGAGGGGGGTGTCCCTCAGCCCAGCCTGCACCCTCTCCAATCTGGGTCCCCTTGAGGGATGTCTGACTGCCCACCGTGATTGGACCTAATCGGGCAAACATCCCTCTCACAATACAGGACTGCTGGCTCCCAACTGCTCACTTGCCTGCCTGGTTGCCCCTAACAGCTCTGCCTGCCAGCCTGATTACCCCCTAACCACCCCCCTGCCTGCCTGATTGAAGCCTAACTGCTCCCCTGCCAGCCTATTTGCCCCTAACTGCCATCCCCTGCAGGCCTGATCCCCCACAACTGCTCTCCTTGCAGGTCTGGTCCCTCCCAACTGCCCTCCCCAGCTGGCCATCTTGTGGTGGCCATCTTGTGTCCACATAGGGGCAGGATCTTTGACCACATGGGGGCAGCCATATTGTGTGTTGGAGTGATGGTCAATCTGCATATTACTCTTTTATTAGATAGGATAGAGGCCTGGTACATGGGTGGGGGCCCGCTGGTTTGCCCTGAAGGGTGTCCCAGATCAGGGTGGGGGTTCCCTTGGGGCATGGAGTGGCCTAAGCAAGGGGCCTGTGGTGGTTTGCAGGCTGGCCATACCTCCTGGAGACTCAATTGGAGGCCCTAGTATCTGGGATTTATCTTCTACAATTGAAACTTTGTAGCCTGGAGCAAAGCCAAGCCTCCTACTTGCTCTGTGGCTGCCACCATTTCTGTTGGGATTTATTTACCTTCTATAATTAAAACTTTGTAGCCTGGAGTGGAGGCCTCAGCCAGCCAGGGTGTACAGAAAGCTTGGCTTCTTCCACCGCTGGGGAAACTCAAGCCTCCCTCCTGCTCGCTCAGTGGATGCAGCCATCTTGGTTGGAGTTAATTTGCATACCCTCTCCTGACTGGCTGGTGGGTGTGGTTGGGTGTAACAGAATGATGGTTAATCTGCATATTGTACTCTTTTATTCGATAGGTTAAGTCCCTATTCTCCCCTCCCCACAACTCCTGGAAACCACCATTCTACTTTCTGTCTTAATGATTTTGATTCAAGTACCTCATATAAGTGGAACCATAAAGTATTTTTGTGACTGCCTTATTTCTCTTGGCATAATACCCTCCAGGTTCATCCATATTGTAGCATAGGCATGTCAAACTCACAGGGTGAAGCCACATGCCTCATTTAACATGTGTCAAAATTTCCTTCCTTCCTAATCTGCATTTCTCCTTATGGATTCAATTTACCATCCGGTGTTATGTTCTTATTTCAGCACAGCTTTCTTTCCACCCATTTGTTATTGTCAAGTAGATTACATTTCTAATTTATAGGTCTACCAATACAATGCTACACCTAGTTTTATGCAATTGCTTTTAAATCAGTTAAGAGGAATAATGCAGTTATAAAGTCCTTATAATTAATTACCTGCACAACTACCTTTACTGGCAATTCTTGTTCCCAGCTGCAGTCCATTGGGTGTGGAGCTGGCATGGCCACCGGCCATGTGGTGCTTAAGGCCAGATGACTGTGGAGGTTCATGGCAAGTGCATGCCGTGGGCCAAGCGAGAAACAGAAGCACAAGCAAGAGAGCAAGAACTAGGAGCTTAACCAATTGAGCCTTCAGAATTTCGTGGGCTTGATTGGTTCCACCCCTATGGCTAATTATATTTTCTCCTGGTTGGACTGATGGGCAAGCACCTCCCCTGTCACATCCTCCCCTTTGTCGGGTCCGCTTCCTGTGATTTGCAAGGAGTAAACTGTGGTTCCCTGGGGAGTGTGAAGTTACAGCTTCCTGGTGAAGCTGCCTAGGTGACCAAACTTGTAATGTCTGGCCTTTCCTTTGCTTTCTTCCTATTATTAATTTAATAACTAGCTAATTACAATGGTAATGATGTCTCTCTCACATGTAAAGGTCAGTTTTGCAAGATACTGCATTCTTGATGTTCAGGTTGTTGTTCTTCTTTTAGCCCTTTGAATACATCAGCACACAGCCTTTTGACCTCATTCTTTGCTTGAGAAACCTTCAATTTCATTCTTTAGAGGGTGCAGCCTTGGGTAAGCATAGTCACCTGGGTGAGATTTTAATAGGCCTTTCTCCGAATATTTTCCTGATTTCTGTTAAACCTATCTGGCATCACACATTAGCTCCAACTGCCAGTTGATTGCCATTTTTGATGGTGCCCTAGGGCACAAACTGCTCTGTAGTCTGATCCGATTAGATTTGGTTGGCCCTTTTGGAGGTAGTAGGAGGCTAGCCTTTGAGGCTTGGATGACTGTAGGAGGGCTTTTCCTGCCTCTTTCCCAGGTTGTCAGTTAATTTGGCTTGTTGCTTTAGGGAGCCTCCAGCCTCCTAATTGCTAATGACTAAATTCCATTGTTTTTGAGAGCACCCTGTCTTGAACTTTCCTACACTCTTCCAAACCAGTTCCTTTGGGAAGAGCTTGAGAGCTCTTTATTTCTTCTAGGCTGCCTCTACCCTGGGGAAAATTTTGAGACACTCTTCTGGAGCTCAGAGTGGGCTGCTTCTCTTGGATTGATAGGCCAACTTTATGAGTAGAGCTCAATAATTATGGAAGCCACTAATCTTCTTGGGTTGGCACTTCTGGTACAGAAACCTTACCCTATCAGCAAGCCAGCAAGAGGCACTCAGGGTCCTGGCATTCTTGGCCAGCTGTACCTGGGGTAGAGTCTCCATCCTACGAGTGGGAACTGGTTGAGAAAAGGGAGTCCTGACCTCTTGGCTGCATATATTTGTAATTTAGCCTTTGCAACACAAAGCTAGAGGGGCCTGAGAACTACTGGCAGCCTGCCCCTCCCTTAAAGATACCATATCCTTGATAGGGAAGAGGGAGCATTGTCTTCTTGGCTATAACCGCTCAGAGTGGAATTATGGTAGCACTGAGCTATGTGTGTAGGTTGGGGAGGGGAGGTGCAGGAAGAGAATAGATTGTGGCATAAATGCCACAAACTTAAAATTTCTTACAGACTTGGGTTTTCTAGAATGTTTCATTTGTTGTATGCCCTTAGGACTACATGGACTTTAAATGGTTATTTAAAAAAAATTTTTTTTTCACCTGTTACATCAGTTATGGAGGGGAGCTGGTCCCAGGTCCTCATGTAGCCATTCCAGAAGTCAGGTCTATTTATTAATATTGTAGTTTGCTCACCAAAAATAGTTTAAAGCAAGGAAACTTTATTCATATCCCTTAGGATATTAAAAATAAAACTTTTATAATCTCAAAACCCAAAATACTATGAATTTAGAAAATAATAAAAATCCTCAAAAGATTTTTAAAGCTTAATTATAACTGCTATTTTTGTTTGTCTACAAATCAGTGTTTGCTCTTTATTTTTCTTTCACATCAAGGATTGTATTTTAATACACAATGTACTAAGCCATAAAGACCAGAAATACAAGATACCATCAGACAAGAGCAATGCTCTTCACTCATTGTCGTCCAATGCACTCCGCAATATTAGAGAGTAATTAATAACCAAGCAAGCCCATCTGTTCACTTTTTCTCCTTTAAATGCTACTGAAGACTGGTTATCTTTTTAAAATTCTGGAACACAAATTAAGTTTTCTTTTACAGATCATGAGGACTTTTAAATACATTACTTTATGTCACTTACTCGTGGTTTTATAAAAGCCACAGGTGTGGGGTATTGTGTATGTGTGTACAATTTTTTTGATAACTCAAGTGGTCGGAGAATATTAATTTAACCTAAAAAAGTCCATTCAAGTGAAACTTTTATTTGCCTTCACCATTATTATTATACTGCTAAGAAAGGGATTACACAAATTACAAAGGAAAATAATTTCATGTACTTGGATTTCCAAGTAAAAAGTTGTGCTAGTAATTTTAGACACCACTGTTTTGCTTTTTTACTTCAATGGCAGAAATATTTTTAGCACACATAACAGGTATAACAATTAGTAAACATTTAAATTATTTTACAAATTTTCAAAACTTCTGTAATTTAGAATTTGACAGTTCAAACTATGCAGCAGTTCAAAGTAAAGTTTATATTTGTATTATAAACAAGTATATAAACAGTGGCAACTAATTCTATCCTAATCCCAATACCCAATTTAAAGAATCTAACCAGAATTGATTAAATGTAAACGGCAAAGAAAGAACAGATGACCACTGCCAGCAATATTTTACAAGGAAATTCCTTCAGGGTTTAGAGGTTGGGCTAGTGCCCAATGATTTCTAAGTCCCTTCTATTCTAAAATTCTAGTTTCCCTGGCAGTTCTATTAAGAAACAATTATTTCTTCTCACCATTAATTATAGCTAGATTATGTCACACACAGGTGGATATTTTAGTGCGTTGCTATATGTTAAAATGTTGCCTTTGAGAATATGCTGCAGTTCACAAGTCCTCTCCCACTTTGTTTAAGATTGAGATCTTGTCCCTGTTTTAGAATGAGTTTAACTATGTTTGAACAAGACCTACTTTAGCCTAAATGTTATCCTTTTCTTGGCAATGTTATAAATAATACACAAAATGAATTTTTAAAACATTCAACAAATGTTACATCTCAAATTCAGAAATAAGCACCTATACCTCAAAATCCCCATGTTAAACTATAACATATTATTTATATGCGAACGGTTGGTATACATGTTTCTTGCTCAGTTCTCTCGAAGCATGGATGTATGTCTGTCATGAAAAGAAAATAGCTTCAGGTTAAATCATAATGCTAAGATGCTTAGTAATTATTATCATCACTTTTACAATTCAATGTTGGATTCTTGATTCTGGACACACACACATGCCCACATATGGCCACGTGTATGTATACACACACACACACACACACACACACACACACACACATACACACACTTTCTTTTATGTAAACAACAATTTATATAAAAACAAAATATTTATCTACATATCCTCCAAGAATTGCTAGAGAGATGAAATGGAGTCTTCACAATTGGAAAATGTTGTGATTCATTAGAATTAGTTCTAAATATTATCAGACTAAATAGCTTCAAGTAATCTTTGAATCAAAATGTTCTGTTTTTAAAATACTGGTTCATCAAAAATCAAATCTCCATGAATCAAAGTACTATCATTGGCAGCCTTGCAGTGAATTACACTGAAAAATAGGTCTACAAAAACACTTTGAACATCATTTTTAATACTGCCTTAAAAGGTCTGTTACTCTTCAACTATCTCAGTGTACTTTGAAATTTAAAATAATTATAGTTGAAACTGTTACTTTAAATCTAAGTAGGTTCCTGCTATGGCAGTATTTCTTTACTCAGAACATATTTCATTTCAAATATATGCAAAATTTATCACAGTCAGAATACAATTCACAGTCTGAACAGAAACCTCAGTGTTGAAATCTCAACATTCAGGAAAATAAACACTACATATTAAGTTACTTTTGAATACAAATCATTTAAGTGAGATATAATTTCTAATTTGTGATCAAGTGAAGAAATCACTTTTTATGTGATCTTGACCAAAATCAATTAGTCAAGATTACCTACCATATTATGGCCCCGTCAGTGTGGTACAGTAGCTGAACATTGACCCATGAACCCGAGTCATGGTTCGATTCCCCGTCAGGGTTGTGAGCTTGAAGCGTGCAGGAGGCAGCCAACTGATTCTCTCTCGTCGATGTTTCTCTCTCTCTCTCAATCTCTATTCCTCCCTCTGAAATCAATAAAAACATATTTTAAAAAAATTACATTATGGTACAAATCAAACTCTACTGACATGGATCAGAACCATTTTTATTACTTCATTGATAACAAGGCTTCCTGTTTGTTAAAGAGTGTTCCTTTCACTGCAGATATACTTTTAATTTTATAATGCTAAACAATGGGGCAAGAAAGAGGGGCCCACTTTTAAAATATCCACTCTTCATTTTCTGATTTTAAGATATCCCATCTTTTTTTAATGCATTGGCTTGTCAATTTATCTTTAAGATAAATGAAACTTCTATCTTTACAAATAAGAATGTGTGAATAAGATTATATACAGTCAAACCTCGTTTCTCAACCATATCCCATCTCAGAACAATTTGGTTCTGGACTAAGTCATTCATAGAAAAACAAAAACTTCAGTTTTTGACCACCAACTCTTTCATGATGAGGTATCAACATAACAAAAAGCTTCTCAAAGGCAACAAGGAGAGAATGGTTTGTTGCTGGCAATTAGCACAATTTTAATACATAAAGATGCCATTCAGAGTGCTAATATAGCTAAGAGTGTGAAAGTGCTCACAAAACAGCAATCACAGGCAATTGAATAGGTAGAAAAACTGTTGTTGATTGGATAAAGGAAAAGAAGTTAGCTGTGATAGCATTCTGGAGGCAGAGATGTATGAAAAATTCCTTTAAGGCTAATAGGGGTGGTTCCATAAATTTATTTATAAATTAAGCAGTACATTAGCCATGTACTGTATATAAGAAAGGTTGAAACAGGGAATCCTTTGGGGGTCTGGGATGAATTAATTCAATTTACATTAATTCTAATGGGAAAAAATGATTCTGTTTTCAAACAAATCACTTTTCTCAAACAGCCTTCTGGAAAGAATTAAGCTTGAGAAACGAGGCTCCACTATATTCTGAGAAGTTATGTCCCATGATCTAACCCATACTTCCGATTTAAAATATAACTAAGCTCTCTCAATAAACTAATTTTCAATTTTCAATTTAAATCATCTTTATTGTACTGTTCTCATTCTCTTTCCTTTATTTTTACATTATTTCTATAAATGCTCAAATTAAAAAACAAAAACCCTCAGTCTTGAAACCAACTTATATTGGAGCTCTGAGGTTAGTTTGTAACTTTCAAAATACTTGTTAAAAGGTATAAACCCCGAAATTACAAACCAAAGAATTAACAATTTTATAGTATATATCTAATTTATTTAAAAAAATATTCTGAATTGTTTTTATACAAGTAATCAAGTGCTATTTTTTCAAATGAAACTCCTTTATAGGCTAGAAGAGGGTATGTGGTATTGCCCCATTAAAAACCAATACAAATTTCATTTTTTTCTATACTGGTACTTCAACTATTTCAAAGTAATTTTCTGGGAGAAACACAAAACCTCTCTCTGGGACGTCTTTCTCTTTCTGGAAGTGCATGGCCTCCTTTAACTTTTCAAGCTGTCGTTCTTGTCTTCTGCATCGTTGCTGTGCAGTCTTGAGCTTCTTTCTGAGTTTTTCAACTTGCAGTTCCAGCTCTTGAATCCTTTTTCTCTGGTGCATTGTATCCTCCACAGTGTAGTTGTGGTCACAGAAAACTGAGAGGTTATCAGGGGTCTGAAGAGGAGGCATTAGTAACCCGATGGCAGCTTCCACCTGGGAAATGGGGGGCTTTAGAGGAGGCGGGGAAGGCTGTTCTTGTGGCTCCACATCTTCCTTCTAAAACAATAATGCAAAGTAGGTTTGAATTTAATAACTAGAAACAACAGTGTAAAACAATTTACCTGTGGAATTTAAGAATATTAAACTTTTTTAAAAAAATGGAGTCCAGCAAAAAAAATAATTCCAAAATGAGAAAATACTTTGTTTCAATTATATTTTTCTACCTGAAGTACAAATGAGATATAAGGATGAGGCAGAATGATTAATCAAATTTAATGAATTAGAGTATTTAAAACTGAGGGGGAAAATACTTTGAAAATGAACTGTCATTTATTTAAAAAAAACAAAAAACTGATCACTATACAAAGTAGGGGAACAGAGTAATCTTAAAATAAATGACAAAGCTTGATTGAGTTTCTTAGTGTGAGGATATTTAATTTTGATAAACTATATTTTGTATTTTTTTTAAATATTACTGTTGCCCTAGCTGGTTTGGCTCAGTGGATAGAGCGGACTGAAGGGTCCCAGGTTTGATTCTGTCCAAGGGCACATGCCTAGATTGCTGGCTTGGTCCCCAGTAGGGGGCATGCAGGAGGCAGCCAATCAATAATCCTCTCTCATCATTGATGTTTCTCTCTCTCCCTCTTCCTTCTTCTCTAAAATCAGTAAAATATATATTTATTTTTAAAGTATACTACTGTTAACAGTGGTTATTCATAAGGAATAGGTTCCAGATAACATTTATTTTCTTAAGACTACTCTGAATTTTCTACAATAAATACATTACTTTTTAAAATGGGGAGGAAATCCAATATTTTAAAACTCACATTACCTTGTCACGTGGTTCAGTACAAAGAAATATTGTGGGTACAGCATTCTCTTTCAGTAACTTGTTGTTGCACTCCCTCTTAAAGCAATCTGGAGTAAAGTGTTCCGAACAAATACTGCTATATTTGGTGGGTTTAAAGTTTTTTCTTCTGATAGCTGCCTCCCATTCTTTACAAAGATTGGGTCGAGTAAGAGGAAACCTAAGAAAATGAAATAATTCAATTCTCTGACTTTATTTTTTTATTTTTTTAAACGGCACATCCAAACTTTCTGCTTAGGAAAGAAACATCAAACACACTAAGAAATATTTCATTAAAACACTAGTTCTGCTTTTTTTGGTTTGTTATTAGTTGTGCCTTTATTCACCTCGGTTCATTTAAAATGTACTTGTTTTAAATATCTGATACAGTGACCATTCACTAATGTGGGTTATAAGTCACCCCTCCCAAGATGGTATTTAAAAAAAAAAAGAAGTATCTCTTGCCAAAACCGATTTGGCTCAGTGGATACAGTGTCCGCCTGCGGACTGGAAGGTCCGGGATTCAGTTCCGGTCAAGGGCATGTACCTTGGTTGTGGGCACATCCCCAGTGGGGGGCGTGCAGGGGGCAGCTGATCGATGACTCTCATCGATGTTTCTAACTATCTCTCTCCCTTCCTCTCTGTAAAAAAATCAATAATAAAAAATAAAAATAAAAAAAAAAATATATATATATATATAAAAGAAGTATCTCTTATAGAAATCTTACTGATCACACAATAATTCTAAGAATATCAGATATTAGTAATGATAGGCCAATTAAAAATTTACAGAATGTAAAAATATATGGATTAAAAGTTAGCCATGCCTAGCTGCTTTGGCTCAGTGGATAGAACATCAGCCTACAGAGTGAAGGTCCTGGGTTCGATTCCAGTCAAGGCCACATGCCTGGGTTGCAGGCTCAATCCCCAGTAAGGGGTGTGCAGGAGGCAGCAGATCAATGATTCTCACATCATTGATGTTTCTCTCTCTCCCTCCCCTCTCCTTTCATATCTGAAATCAGTAAAAATATATTTTTAAAAAAATTTAGCCATGTTGATGGGTGTATGCAATGGGAAGGGTAGCTGAAGAAAGGTTTGGGGTGGAGGGTCCAAATGTGTAGGATCTGTCCCCCCTCCATTACAGTAAATAACTTTCACTAACCGACACAGGTATTCCATACACATCTACATACACAAGGGTAAATCATGTAACCCTCTAGTCGCTCATTTGATTTTTTTTTATACTGAAGACACAAAATTTCAAGTAAAATGCAAACTGTAGGATGATTTGTATTATTTTTTTACCAGTGATTTTCTGTTCACTGTACAGCAAAATCGCATGTTTATATCTACAGACTGAGAAAAAGAAGATTCTAGTTCTTGAAAAACAGTCTGACAAAATAAGAATCAAATTATATTAAATCACTATAATGAAGAAATAAGATTATTTTGATTTACCTCTTAACCTACTGAAATATGCCAATTAAGCCCAGATAAAGGAATGTAGTAAGAGCTTAAATTTATTGTGATTTTCCCCCAGTTTCTCTTCCATGGAAGGAATGCTAGAGCCTCACTCTGCTATTGACATGAAGATCTAATGGACCCTATGACAGTCCCTTTGTCCAACACAGCTCTTCCCCGGCCACCGTGTGGAAACGGGAAAGTAGTATTCCTAGAAGACCCTGCTAGAAGTGGCTTCTAGAAGTTCAAACATGGTAACAATCACGGGGACACTTCAACACCAAGGGTTACAAGTACTCAGCTTGTTTGTGAGGTTCAGTCAAGATCTTTCCCATCTGAGCCAAAAAAACTGTCCTTTCATATAAAGGATGAGATGTAGGTTTACTCCTTTCCATTCAATGAACTGTTTAACGGCCAGCAGAAACTCAGTATCTCTGATGTGTGAACATCATCCTTAACCAGCTCCCAGTGCCTGTGAAGGGTTTTCCATATTTTTAGGTTCCTTCTGCCATGTCATTAGAACAGGGAAGTGGAGAGCTACCATCTCCTGACCGATTCCTAAACTGGAGAGGTTGTCAATTCATCAGCTTTCGGAAATCCCAGTAAGTGATATTTAAGGATACACTGAACTGAATCCTAGAAGTGTTGTGTTCTATTTCCTTCTCAGAAGAGGGAAACATCAACACTCAAGATCTTTCTATGTATGGTCCCTCTCATACCAGATAAAAAAATATAAAAATGCATCTACATCTGCTGTTGAACATAAATGACCCCCACCAAAACAAAAACAAACAAAACCTGAAAGGATATTTAACATTTTGCTTGTGTATTCATTTAGCTATGAAAAAAAATCACATAACTTACCACCGGTTTTAATTTCTTAACTATCAACCTTTATAGTCAGCAATTTTTGCAAAAAACCAAAAACGTTTTAACGTGAATGTAATAAAATTTGAAAATACGGTACTGACTCTGGCTGAAATAAAATGCCATCATGTCACACTCTGCAGATATTTCATTAAGTCGTTTCCACTTCGCGGTTTTATTTTCAAGAGAACATGTTTCTCCCACGACTCTGACTGCAGCACCTTGGGGAGAAAAGGGTCCTGAAAGGTGTGGGCTGGTTCTTCTCTGGGCTCCTGAGACGGCTCAGACTGACCTTGACTGCGGCATGGACCGCGGTCCGGACGATCACTGTCCATGTTACCACCGCTGTGAACTGAAAGCATGAACTATTGCTGCTGTGCACGCAAAACAAACTACTCATCGCAGCAGTAAACCTTAAGAGACCCTTCCAGGCTGTTCCTAGAAATTGGGACACACCCATCCTCCCTGAAATCCTGGCCAAAAACCAATCCTTAATTGATGCTGGCCTCCCATCCACACACACAAAAAAAGTCCCCCCTTTTTTTAAATTCCAAATTTACTTCTAAAGAGTAAGCTATTGCCGAGACCGGTTTGGCTCAGTGGGTGGAGCATCGGCCTGCGGACTGAAAGGTCCCGGGTTCGATTCTGGTCAAGGGCGTCGATCTCATCGATGTTTCTAACTCTCTATCCCTCTCTCTTCCTCTATGTAAAAAATCAATAAAATGTATTAAAATAAGTAAAGAAAGAAAGAAAGAAAAGTTACTGCCACCTGGCTTCCTATAGACTGGTGGTGAGACCCGGCACTTGCTCTCGGCCTCACGACCAGCGGGGCCCGAACACCCCGCCTCCAGGCCACAGGCCGGAAAGGAAGCGAAAGGACCGGCCGCCGGTGGGGGCGGCGGCGCGCGCCGAGAACGCGCAGCCGGCAACGGCGGGGCGCGGGCACCGACACCGGGCGCGGCCCCGCGCCGAGGACGCCCGAGGAGCGCACGCCGCGCCCCGCCCCTGCCGGCGCCCCGCTCGCCGGGTCTCGCGCGGACACGCGCCCGGCCCCGCCCCCTGGCCTAAGCGGCCGCGCGCCCCCGGCCCGAGCTGCGGCGAGAGGGGCCTTACTTGTGAAAAGAAACGGGCTTATCCTTGTGGTACCGGTTCTTGCAGCCGTAGGCGGAACAGGACTGCACCATCCTTCTGGTCCTCAGGCGTCTCACTTCTGCCGCTCCGGCAGGCGGGCGAAGCGGTTACCGATGTCGCCGCTCTCGGCTCTGACACGCTCGCTTCTCCCGTCGCTTTGGCCAACAGTTACAGCGATGATAGCCTCCGTCCGGGGGGCCTAGTGGGCCCGTTTTGTTGTTTGCATTAGCAGAAGGACCACAACCATCCCCCGTCTCCCATCTCCAAGATGGCGGAGGCAGCTTCAACCTCAGCTCTCGCGAGGAGTTCGTCCTGCTCTCTCGGATTAGCGTTGAGGTCAGAAGTAACGCTCCCTAGGAAGCAGGCCATTGGTCGAGGCCCCCGGCGTGGGGTGCGTCGGGCTCTGCGTGGCGGAAGTGGGCGGGCCTTCGGCCTTCCGGAAGGGAGAAAGGAAGTGCTTGCGAGAGGCTGGGAGCAGAGCTGAGCCTAACTGTAGGGTCAGGCTCTGCTGTCCCTGCTTTTCTCGGGTTAATCTGTCAGGGGCGAGTTAGCGGGTTAGCGGGGTCTGCTGGTGTAGAGGAGGACCGGTGTAAAGCTGAGGTCGTTGGGTTATGGCGCCGATTTCCTCAAAAGGGCGGCCACTGCTCGTGATTTTGGGAAACCCAAATTCCATTAACAGTTGAATGTATAAACTGATACAGTCATACAATGGAATACCATATAGCAACCAAAATAAGGAAGCTGTGGCCCATACACTATGGAAGTTTCTTACAAAAGTCAGACAAAATACATTATGTGATTCTATTGTTTTTGTAGGTAATAAAGTAGGCAAAACGGAAGCCAGAAGAGGTTACTTTTGGGAGAGGCAATGAAGGGGGCTTATGGGATGGTGGTAATGTGCCTACTGACCGAAGTGATGTTAAACTGTGCTCACTTTATGGTGATCAGTGACCTTGATTGATTTATAAAATGTTTCATGTTCTACTTCAATAAAATAGCTTTTAAGCAAACAAGGGCCATATAAGATACGCAAAACTGCCTTTTTTCCTTTCTTTTCTTTCTCTTTTTTTTTTTCTTTAAGAGAATGATGTTTATATGTTCATTTGGCCCCTTCAATAAATATGAAAAAAGTGAATATGTCTTATATGACCATTCGAGGGGAAGATGATAAATAGGGATAAACTGAAGAAGGGTAGTTAGAAGTTTGATGTTTTTCAAAGTTTAATTCATTTATTATAACTTCGGTGCACAAATTAGTGCATGGGTGGGGTCCCTCTGGGTGGCCTGCAGGATCAGGCAGAACCCCTAGTCCAAGGCCACCTGCAACTCCTACCTGCCTCTGCTGCTCATCCCAGCCCCACTGCGCCTGGGCTCAAGCCCAATCAGTCCCCATTAAGAGGCCGCAGCTGCACTTGTCAGGCATGAGTTCTGTGTCTGGCGCCCTCGCAAGGGGAATGGCCTTCGAGACCGGGCGAAAACCGGATCTCCGACATCCCCCGAGGGGGTCCCCTATTGCAAGAGGGCACAGACCAGGCTGAGGGACCATACTGGTGCATAGGCGGGGGAGGGACTGCTGGAGGGCTCCAGGGCATGTGAGGCCTATCTCACTCAGTCCTGATTGGCCAGACCACAGCAGCAAGCTAAGCTACCAGTTGGAGTGTCTGCTCCCTGGTGGTCAGTGACCGTCATAGCGAGCAGTTGACCATCCTTAGCATATCATTAGCATATTACGCTTGATTGGTTGTTCAGTTGTTCTGTCGTTAATTCTATTTGCTTATTACCCTTTTATTATATAGGATGCTTTTTAAGGGAAAAAATTTAAACACTGACATGTAAAATAAGTTTTCCCCAGTAGGGGGTGTGCAAGAGGCATCTGATCAATGTTTCTCTCTCCTGGATGTTTCTAGCTCTCTAAAAAATCAATTAAATATATTTTTTAAAAAGAGTAAGTTTTGTTACAGTTATTCTAGGATAAACTTTTTTTTTAAATATATTTTATTGATTTTTGTACAGAGAGGAAGGGAGAGAGAGAGTTAGAAACATCAATAAGAGAGTCATTGATCAGCTGCCTCTTGCACACATCCTACTGGGGATATGCCCGCAACCAAGGTACATGCCCTTGACCGGAATTGAACCCGGGGCCCTTCAGTCCCCAAGCCGACGCTCTATCCATTGAGCCAAACCGGTCCTGGCTCTAGGATAAACTTTTATCTATTTTGATAAACTGAAGAAAAATAAGCCACTTGTGCCGAAACCTGTTTGGCTCAGTGGATAGAGCATCGGCCTGCAGACTGAAAGGTCCCGGGTTCGATTCCGGTCAAGGACATGTACCTTAGTTGCGGGCACATCCCCAGTAGGGGGTGTGCAAGAGGCAGCTGATCGATGTCTCTCTCTTATTGATGTTTCTAACTCTATCCCTCTCTTCTTCCTCTCTGTAAAAAATCAATAAAATATATTTTTTTAAAAAGGAAAGAAAAATAAGCCATTTGTTTTGACATAGGAGAGCGCAAAAGATGTTTTTAAACTCAATGATATCTAACAGTTTAGATTTTAATTTCTACCAACTATGCTTTTTTCCTATAAACCATTTGTATTTCAGAAAATACCTTTGCATTCATCCTCTCTCTGGGCCTCCTTATCTTCATCTATGGAGTAAGGCTGTAGGACTAAATGAAGAATTCTTAATTTGGAATCCACAATGTTCAGGTCTTGAATCCCCTGAAAAGGAATAAAAAGTATACATACATGTGTATACATGCATTTTTTCTAGGGAGCTGCCCATAGCTTTCATCTGATTTTCACAGAAAATACAAACACTAGCCAATTTGTAAGGACCCTTACATCTCTAAAATTCTAGGATTAGTGAAACAAGATTAATTTTCACGTAGATATAAATTATAGGTTTTCCCTAAGACTAGAGGGGTGAATATTTTGATCTGAATAGTATATCTTTAGTTTTTAAAATTGTCGTGTTTTTAAACAAATTAAAATCTATTAGATATCAGTGAGTTTAAAACATCTTTAGCCCTTAGCCCTCTCCTACATCCCATATTACATCTCCCTCAAAAAGTCTACAGCTAAATTCCACTAGTCCACATGTGTCAAACACAAGGCCCTCGGGCCAAATCCGTCCCGCCAGGCCTTGCAATGTGGCCCGCACCACGCTGTCATCACTGCACTCCACTGCATTTCCATCACAATGACAGTTTATGACTGTTCAGTAAACCATTCGGCCCGCGATTTAGGCTGGATTTTAGATTTTGGCCCCTTCTCTGATTGAGTTCGACACCCCTACACTAGTCCAATAAAGAATGAAGGAAAATATCCAAACATGCTCTGTGTTTTCTGACAGAGTTTACTCCTCTCATGTACCAATCTGGGATATGGGACCAGTCAGAGGGTATGGATGGATGAAGATGACAGTGACGAATAACACCTCAAATTTGCTTGTAGTCAAGGACTCAATGCTTAAAACAAATATGTCATGAAAATGGTCAGGTTCTGATGGAACAACGTCTATCTCTGTGATTTTCAGCAGCCCTTAAAGCCTACTAGCTTGGTCCTGGAAGACAAGTTTAGGGCCTTCAAACCTTGAGTGCCCTTTTTTATCCCAGCCCCAGGTTTATGGATTGCTATTTAGCAAAACAGAAGAGCCTGGAGTACATTTAGGGTTTTATGGAAAAGGGAATGGAACGAGTGTTTTGCAAACATAATGGCACAGACTCAGAAAAGATCATTTCAGTTATCAAATATATACTCCCAAGAAAGGGGTGGGAAATCAGGATACAAGCCTAATCTCTAATTTCAATTGTACCCTTCTTGTCCAGAATTAATATAGATTACCCAGATTAAGTTTTCCTCATAAACAAAAACACTTCTACTTTTTAAATTCAAAAACATCTAAGGAAAATTTATTAGAAATGTGTTGAGGTATTGGATGTCCACAAATGAAAAAGAAAGTCATTGCGAACATTACATTGAATGCTATTTCAGGAGTTCTGAATTTTAAAGCAAACTATCAAAGAAACGGGAAAATACCAGCTACTTTTAAATTTTAGATGTATTGTTTTTATTCAAAAGAGTAAATGTCTGACAAATTCTGAAATCACCAAGTTTGAACCAAACCGTCAACCCTCTGTAACAACTCTGTGAGGTAGATAGGAAGAAAGAGACTAATACAGTCCTTTCTTCCCCTGTTGCTTTCAGATGCTGGGAGCTGAAGCCACTGTGCTAGTGGGCAGCGAAGACAGTTGTTCCCTCAGACCTACCCAAGTTACCTGCTCCTGGGGTAGGGCCATATTTTTGTGAAAGTTACAATATTGTTATTTATAAAAATCCAAATTGTTGCTTTGATTTATATATGATCTCACTCTGAATTATAGAAATATTACTATGTTTAAAACACTGATTGACTCTACTTGGTTTAAGTATTTTTCTCAGCATCTACATTTATTACCAGTGATCAATACAGATGACATAATAAGCAGTCTACAGTTCTAAGCTATCCTACTCCAGTGTGTTCCAAAAGACTCCCAATGACCCCGGTGTCTCTCCAGCTTCACCCCTTGGTAATAACCTTCACATTTATCTGAACCCACGCAGGAGTCCTAGTGAGTCTAATACCAGTTCAGTCACTTATTTGTGCATGGCTTCAGACAAAAAACCTGCCATCTATAAAAAGAAAGACAACGCCCTGCCTTATTCACATGCTGTCTTAAGGATAAAATGAAAAATATATGAGAAATTGCTTAAATTATAATGTGCTGTATTTAAGCATTATTATTTTTCCCTTTGATAAGCAATAGTTTTGTCCTGGGCCCAAATTAGAAAACACTATTATTGACATTTTATTCAGAATCTTATTAGTTAATGGCTAGATTAATTTGGGAGACAGTGACAGATTTTTCTGGCCTGTCTATACACGGTGAGGCTCACTAATACCTGAGTGGACAGTATGATATCGGTGACTGCAGGTGACAGAGCTAACACTCCAGGGCACCAACACCACTCTGCTGCCCAATTTGCTAATGAGCAGTGCCAGCTGAGATTTCATAATACTTGTGGTTTTGGTTCTCCTCAAACAGAAAAATGCAGAAGAGAGCGTTTGATACTGATGCTGGAGCCATTAAATAAACCAAGATAACTTTCCAATTGAACCACCTCTGACATTTGCTCATTCTTCCTTAGACTTGATGAATCTGGGCTATCTGCTGCCTTCTAGGGTCAGTATTGCAAGTTTTCTGTCAAGAGAAAATCAAATTTGTCCATTCTGTTACTGTAGTCCCCAGTCATTTGTCAGATTTAAGGTCTACTCTTAAGGTCTTTAATGCTCAAGCCATGAAGAACCACTTTCCTCAAAAATGCATCAAACTATTGTGTGTTTACAGTACTACCCAGGTTCCTGGAAAAAAAAAAATTCCTTTATGAGTTCCTTTGATACACTGTTCCTATAAAAGGACAAAACTCTTGTGTAAATGCCATAACTGAGAACTAAGTGTGCTGACTAGAGATAAATGTCTTATATCTTGTTAATTCTTCTAGTATTCTGGAAATTAGAATGTAAACCCGATTATAAAGTTCAAGTTTTCATTCACTTTCAGCTGATAACAAAGACTTAGAATGGAAAAGCAGAACTGCTCCAAATGCATAAAACTTAGTACTAAAAGAAACACTGACTGTTGCCCAATATTGTACAATATTTTATTATAATAAAAATATTTAGATGCATCTCATTGCAATATATTATCATATAGGTATTCACTGAGAAGGAAAAATTGGATAAAGTATACATTTAACAATATCTTACTATACATCCAATTAATCTGAGTAATTTTGGAGGAAAGAAAAAGATATAAAAAAAAGCATCCCTTTTTATATAATTCCATGTTTTTTTCCAGAGACTTAATAGACAACACAATCAAGATACAGTTGTAAATTATTATAATTCTAACCCTAATATTAGAACCTGCAACATGTAAAAATTCCAGTCATATATTGCTAGGTATTTGCCAAATGATAATCAAATGTTTGTCATACAGTGGTTTAAAGTTTGTGAGATACTATTCAAATGCTTTATACTGCCAAGGGTCAGTCCTTTTGTTTGATTTAATGCATTAGCTCATATTTCAGTAAACTCTTTTTTTTCACCTGTTTAGTCTCTGTGTTATCACTTCTCGATACATAATAGAGATGTAGATAAGCAACAAAAAGATGACAAAGAAATCATCTAAAAAGCCTAAAATTCCAAACAAGGCTTCCGGTACAAAATCTAGAGGTGATATAAGGTAGAAAAAAGCTCCCATTAAACAAAGTATTATCCTGATACGGAACATCCAGAAAAGGCCCCCGACTGAAAACATTTCCCTGAATGCGTGTCTCAGTAAAGTGGGTAGATCCATAATTCTTTCCATAATCTGGTAGGAGGAAGAACAAATATTATGATTTGGCATCTAATGTGTCAGGCTTACAAATACTATAATTTTCCTATAATGTGCAGACAAACTCAGTTAACATGAACTATTGAGTTTCACATACTGATTGAACATCATATCTTCTAGTTATCATTTTATTTAAAAATAGTTCTTTGATTACTAGGTTCCTATAAAATAGGTCTTGCAGATAATTGAAAAGCAACTAAAATGTCAACAAACTTAAAATATAGGGCATAATAAGGTAAAAAGTTATCTTTAATATGAATTAGGAAACTAAATGAAGAACTGACTATCGAATTAGAGTCTGAGGCTTGAGGTCAAGTCTCAGCTTTACAAAAGTGAGACAGATCTGGGTTTGAATTCAAAGTCAATCACTTATTAGCCAGATGACCTTGAGGAAACTTGTTTAACCTACTAGAGATAGGTCACCATCTAATTGAGTATTTATGTACCAGGAGGACTTTCAAGAACTAAAAGAGATACTGTATATAAATGACCTTCATAAATTGCCAAACAATATATATTACCCATTAAAGACACACAAAGTTAATGGCTTTGACAGTCTTAAGAATAGCAATGAAAGTGATCCCTTCTTAGGATGTTTATTCTGCTTAGCTGGAGATTAAGTGAATCACTAATTGCTACGAAGATTTTTGGAATACCATGCTCTAGCTTTCTGAAAATGATTAAGTTTCTAAATATGTACAGAAACTGACATCAGAAACTAGGTTTTTACACAAATGAGCAAAATTTTCACAGTTGAAATTTAACAGCTGACATAAATTTTTAAGATGTGGAAAAACTGGAACTCTCATACACTGTTGGTGGGAATGTAGAGCCCCTTAGGAGACAGTTTGTCAGTTACTTAAAATGTTAAACAGCTATAATATTGAGCAACTGCACAATGAGGCATATACTCATGAAAAATGAAAACACATCTACACACAAATTGGTACACAAGTTAATGGGAGCATAATTCATAACAGGCAAAAAATGGCAACAATTCAAATGTCCATTAACTCATGAATGGATAAACAAAGTGTGATATATTATTCAACCATAAAAGGCAATTAATTAAAACATGGGGAATATAGTCAATAATATTCTAATAAGTATATGGTAGCAGATGGGTACTAGATGGACTGGGATGATTACTTTAAATCATATAAATGTATAATCACTATATTGTATACATTAATATAATATTGTATGTCAACTGTAATTGAAAAATAAAAACAAAAAAATACAAAAAGCAATGAAATTCTGAGATACGTTACAATATGGATGCACCTTGAAAACATGCCAAGTGAAATAAGCCAGAGACAAATGGCCATATATTGTATGATCTCATTCAAATAAAATGAGATACCCAGAATAGAAAATCTATAGAGACAGAAAATAGATTTGTGGTTTCCAAGGACAGGGAGAGAGGAAGGGATGAGGATAATGGGAAGGGAATATTAAAGCTTTTCAGAGAATGAAATATTCTAAAGTTATTTCATAGTGGTAATTAGATTATATCTACCCTAAATATACCATAAATCATTGAATTATATACTTTAAAACAGGTTCACTTATGGCTTGTGAATTACATCTAAATAAAGCTATTAAAAGAGTCCTAATATCTACAGGATGGGGCAAAAGTAGGTTTATAGTTGTGAGTGCACAAAATATAATTCTTATATTATTATTTATTAATGATTGTATTTTCCATACAAATCATTGTAAACCTACTTTTACCCCACCCTGTATTTGTATGACCTTTAGCAAGTCAGTTTATTTTCTGACTCCAAACTTCTTAGTTGTTTTGTATAGTTATTAGTTGACTATATGATCTACCAGAAAGTTCCTGTGTATTAATGACCTACCATGACTCTTCAACTTCTTTTATTATCTTATTATCCAGGGGTTGGTAGATGCAAGTGAAACTGACCAGAGGAAGCAAATCACTTCCTGTTGTCATTCCACTGCCCACAGTTCAGCTGCTATTTTTTACAATTTGTATGAATGTCATAAATCCAACTGTATTGTGTATATATATTTTAACAAGTGTCAAATAAATTAGGAGGCAGATAAAGACAAAAATAGGAATAATTGATTAAGTGATGTGAAAACAGTCTTATTTTATTCTATGTTAATCCTTATCCCAGAATATTTTTCCATTGATTTTTAGAGAATGGGAAGGAGGTTGGGAGGGGGAGAGAAAGAAACATCACACATCTATTGGTTGCCTCCCACAACACACCCCAGTGGGGCCAAGGATTGAACCTGCAACCCAGGTACATGCCCCTGACTGGGAATTGAATGCATGACTTTTGGTGTGCAGGCTGTCACTCTAACCACTTAGCAACACTTGCCAAGGTAGAAAAAACAGTTTAAAATAAAAAAAACCCAAACACCAAATGAAGAAAATCTTATAAATCCTTTTGTAAAACTGGTCACAAAAGCACAAAAATGGTCTTTTTAGAATTAACTAATGTTAATTTTCTATTCTACTTTCTATGGAAGAAACTAATATTTAAAACAGCTATTCAGTTTTTACAAGATCTATGATAAATTACTTTAAATATTCTAACGAATACCTTTCTGTCTGTTATCACAGCTATTTTTCACTGCTCATATGGCATTGTTTATACAAAATCTAATTAGACAAGAATCATATAGAAGTTGATAATTTTACATCTCCCTCCAATTTTTCCTATTGCTTTTTTGCGGGTATCTCTTTCATAAAAGACTTTTACAATGCTTTTTTCTTTCTTTCTTTTTTTATGATAGAAACACTGTAGTTCTTGGGAAAGCTGTAACTCAGTGAATGACAACACTGACAACACTAATGAAAGCAAAACCTTTACCCAACACACATAAACAATGTGGTTTTTCATAGTCAAAGAATATTTGTTGGTAAATCTCACTTTACAAAAGAGAAGTATCATTATACTTTCACTTTGTTTCCTCTAACTTTGTACCTGCTATAATGTTACTTACAGATCTGGGCTGCCCTGAGAATCTCCGGTTATAATCACTAATATCTTGAAGCAATGATACGGCATCCTGAGACTGGTCATTTTCACCAAATACTGGTAGCAATAAAGTTACCTATAACATTACAGGAAAAAGAAAAAGTTATACCTTTCTGAGTATTAGTTTCTTTTTCGATTGTGTTATTCAGTAAAATGAGAAAAATTTTTGAATTTATATTTCACTCCTTTTAATAAAGGCAACACAAAGGAGGAAAGTAAGACTACTGCCTACAGTAAAATCCAGTGCAAAATGTAATTTAAACATTTATAAAATAAAATGGGCACTTTATCCAAACATTGATTGTAATATGTTCCAGTCCAGACTAGGAAAAAAGTCAGTGGTTCTCTACAGTTGAAAATGTAAGAATGATGAGGAAACATCCAGGAGCAAAATGATGTAAAAAAAAAAAAAATATATATATATATATATATATATATATATATATATAAATAATTTGGAGAAAGAAAAACAGGGGAATCTCTTCTTTGATTAAAATAATGATTCCTTATCCTCACTGGCATTTGAAATATCTTTGAATATTACCAACCATAATAAAGGATTAACTTAGTGCAAGGATGTTCTCAAACACCTAGCCCTAAGATAATAAAAAAAGTTCCTTCTTGATGCTGTTATATAACATAGTACATTTAACCCATTTTCCTTCATGGTAAAAGTGAGGATACACAAATATCCCAGGATACTTTCGGGTAATCTGAAGATGATTGACTTGAAAACCCTGATAGAGATGGTTGATGTACAATGACAGATGATTTGAACCATCTAGCTGTGGTTGGCTATTTTTCTTCAGAAAGAGAGGAAAAAAAACATCAACCACTTGCCTCTGTATGTGCCCCAATCGGAGACCAAATTGCAACCTGGGTATGTGCCCTGACTGGGAATTGAACCCACAACCTTTCAGAGTACGGATGACGCTCCAACCAAGCCACATTGGCCAGGACTAGCTGTTGTTTCTGTCCTTCCTCTGTTCAGCTGTAAAACCTGGGCTTCCCAGTATTCAGATATTCTCCCACAGCTAAACAAAGGAGTGACTAACAGCAGTCAGTAGTAGGAAGAGCATGTATGTTAGCTCTTCACGAATTTAAGTACATTCTTTAAATAAATATTGAGCTCTTTATTATGGGCACTGTGCTAAGTGCTTGATATACAAAAAATAAATAAATAAAAATTAAAAAATGAAGACATGGCCTTGCCCATTGGTGATCACAATCCCCAAGATAGAAGGGAAGGCAGACCTGTTCAACAGCCTATTCTAAGGCACTGTGGTAGGTGTTACAATGGTGCTCAGGAAAGGAAGAACTTCTCCCTGCAAGTGTCCAGAAATCCTGAAACTTAAGCTAGCCCGGTGGTCAGCAAACTCATTAGTTAACAGAGCCAAATATCAACGGTACAAATATTGAAATTTCTTTTGAGAGCCAAATTTTTAAAACTTAAACAACTTCTAACACCACTTCTTCAAAATAAGACTCGCCCAGGCCGTAGTATCTTGTGGAAGAGCCACACTCCAGGGGCCAAAGAGCCGCATGTTGCTTGTGAGCCGCAGTTTGCAGAGCACAGAGCTTGCCCTTGAAACACAGGTAGGACCATGGGTGTGTTAGTGCATGTGTTCACGGAGGGAAGTGGTGAGGGTGTTCTAGCCGGAGGCATCAGCCTATGCATTATTAGTTCCAGCGGAACAGGAAGTGAAGCAGGTATCTGCCACCTGTCTTGCCTCCAGGATGAATTACTCTATAGTTAGAAAACCAAAAGCTATTATATTAAAACAACTTTATCTCCACCTTATAACTTATATATACCCTGTGAAAAGCTTCGGGTGGTGGAACTAATTTAACACAGGACCTAGGGCATAGTCTCAGTGTGGCTGGCAGATAATTAAAATATGATGAAAGGACGCCGAAGCCGGTTTGGCTCAGTGGCAGAGCGTCGGTCTGGCGACTGAAGGGTCCCGGGTTCAATTCCGGTCAGGGGCATGTACATTGGTTGCTGGCACATCCCCAGTATGGGGTGTGCAGGAGGCAGCTGGTCGATGTTTCTCTCTCATTGACGTTTCTGGCTCTCTATCTCTCTCCCTTCCTCTCTGTTAAAAATCAATAAAATATATTTAAAAAAAAAAAAAAGATGATGAAAGGTGAGAGTAGCAAATAAGTTACAGTGTTGAATGCTTTGTGTCACATATAAAATCATCCAGAGGGGCAGAATATATAAAAAAACAACCAAAAGAGTTTCCACCTGACCATATGATAAAGAGTCAAATGTGAAAGAGACAGAATTTGGGAATGTAGAAGGAAGGAGGAAAGAAACGAAATCCCTGAACCTACCCCCTACAACAAAGATGAAGGCGGTGATGGAAGGAAGTAGACAGAACAAAGGCTGAAAGGTATATGGGAGTGGGCAAAAGGTTTACAGTTGTGAGTATGTGAGACACTGAGTTTATCCTTGTATTATTATTCTTAAATTATTGTATTATTTTCTATTATTTACACTTGTAAATCTATTTTTGCCCACCCCTGTATATCCGTGTGAGCCCGTGTGTGTGTGTGTGGGGGGGGGGGGTTGTTAGGGTTTTATTTAAATTTTAAAAATCAGGCAAAGCTAAATAATCTTAGAGATGTATGCTAAGATGATAAAACCAAGAAAATCAAGGAAATGCTTTATCATAAAAGCGAAACAGAAGTTGCCTATAGGAGAGGAAGAAGGAGTGACGATTTGGGAGGTGTCCTGAGGAGCCTTCTGGGGCTGTTGGCCAATTCCTGTTTCTTCACCTGAGTGATGATGACTCAAGAGTTGCTTTGTGATAATTCAATGAGCTGTACTTCTTTGTTTAGTGTATGTCTGTTATATTTTACAATGAATTTTTGATAAATCGTCACCTCTCATGTCATTCTGTTTTATTTTTTGGTCTCTGTGGGTTTGTGTCTTTATATAATATCCTTTACACCTGGTTGGTGTGGCTCATTGGTTTAGCATGAACCTATGAACTAAGAAGTGCAGGTACTATTCTCGGTCAGGGCACATACCCGGATTGCAGGCGTGATCCCTGGTGGGAGCATACAGGAGGCACCCGTATATATCTCTCTCCCTCTCCATCCTCTCTCTCTAAAAATAAATATATATATATATATTTTAAAAATATATCCTTCACTATTATTTTAGTAGGGTTATAAGAAGGAGCAAAAGTAAATATATCCATCTAATTTGACACCTTTACTTGGAAACTATCCTTTTTAGGACTTTATTTTACATACTAGACTTCCTAGGGATATGCTATCTTTTCACATATTTATAACTCATTATAAGAAAGATGTATATTTTTATTTTAAGTGAAAAATAAAATGACTAAAAAGGATATTGTGAAAAACTATACACAACTAAATGTCCTATATATATATATATATATATATATATATATATATATATGTATTTATATATATATGATTAGATAAGCTTTTATTGCTTATCTTTTTTAAAAAATTCTTTATTGTTTAAAGTGTTACATGTAGTATTACATATGTCTCCTCACCCCCCCCCACCCCCCGCCCATCCCATTGACCTCTCCCACACCACCTCAACCCCCCAGCACATGCCCTAATCTACCCCCGGTGTCTGTGTCCATTGGTTATGCTTACATGAATGCATACAAGACCTTTGGTTGATCTCTTACCCCTCCCCTGCCTTCCCTCTGAAGTTTAACAGATGGTTCAATGCATCTCTGTCTTTGGACTATTTTGCTTAATTAAAAAACTTAGAACTTCAGCTTCTCTGAATTTTCAGTATATTGCTTTTCCCAGTTTATCAAAGAAACAGAGAAAACTCTGGCAATCCCATCTGTGATGATATTTCAGACTTCAATACATGTTTATGAAAACTTACTGCCTCCCTCCTGAATTAGCTTCTAGACTAACTATAACAGTCAAATCTGTTCTGGATAATTAAATGTGGTTATGTTTCTAAAAAAGACAGTTAAAATTATTCTTTATTTAAAGCTATCTGGACCCTTACTGGAGAAGGACAGATTAAAAATAAGTTAAAAAGGAAATACCATTTTTTTCCCCATAAGGAATATGATCAATATTTTCTTAAGCCTGATTAGCTAGTTCAGCTATTACTTTGCTAGTATTACAACAAAGACTTTCTAGGCAATTACCATTTGTTTTTCCTACTACTGAAGAATTTCAAAGGAATTGCCTTTTCTTGAGGTGTCTTAAAGACATACAAATAATGGAATAACAGCATAGAAGCTTTGGATAAAGGAAATTCTAAAAATAGCAAAATAATTCAGAATTCAGAGACAGACACTACAAAGATTTACAAAATGAACTAGCATTAATGATGCTTTCTGGATACAAATATTACCGTTTGCCTACAAATTGGACAGCTGATTGCCCCAAGCCAAGAACCGTATCTCCAGTATGCAATAATGCAGGTACCTAATGGGGAAAAGAAATTAATAGTGATGTTTAGAATACCTAAAATATTTGAACAGTACCATCTTATTTAAAATTTTTTTTTTTTTTTTTTTTTTTTACTTCATCCCACATCTCTTCAGGCAAATTTGAATCTAATAACAATTCCCAGCTATTAAAAAACATTTTTATTTAAACTACCAGTTAAGACGTAGATATTTTTAGACAAAAGCAAGCATGCATTAATTGCTTCAATGCTTTGAGGCTTATTACAAAATACTGCATTTCCTATGTAAAATAATTAAAACAGTAATTAAACATCATTGTATAAATGACACCAACAAATCAGCCTAAATTTTCTGTTCAAATTTCATATATACGTTACAAAACCATAATTCTTACTTTTTATGAGTTTTGAAAGCCAAGTTACTTAAGTATCAATAACAGTAATTAAGTAGTGTGAAAAAGGAACAAAATTATACAGATTACATGCTCTCTGCCCTAATAAAGTTTATAATCCAGTTCAGTAATTGAATCAACTTTTGTACTGAATGAGTTTGATTTTTCTGCTTGAAGGTGTTTGTGAGTCTAAGAGACCTCAGAAAGCAGAAGCACTAAATTTTAGACCAGTAACAATGAAGAAGAAATATTTTTAAATATTTTCTGATTCATTTTCCTTTCTGTAGGACACCTGTTTCTCAGACCATCCAGGTTCCACTGTGAATCTAAACTAAGTGCTTCATGTCTTCCTCATACCTCTACGGTTTTCTCTGTATTCTTACTCTTGCCTTGGCAACCTAGCTTAGCCCTCCTGTGTTCCTTTTCTGATTCTTCCAGATCAAATAAATGTCCAGAATTTAGAAGAAGCAATGGCAATCAAAGTGAGGAGACCAAGGTGGCATAGTTAATTCAATCAGAGGGTAGGTAAATATTGAACTATGTAATATTAAGTACAACAGGAGTACAGAGAGGGAGAACTTTCTGAGATGTGCTAGAGAGTAACCTGCAAAAGAGAAAGATCTGAACTTTGTAAAACAGAAAAAAATTTAGACAGGCAAAAATCAGGAGGGAGGATGCTCCAGGTTTTGTGAACAAGAGCAATCACCAGAAGAAGAAATGGATGGAAGAGGAGACGGGTGAGCAAATCACTGGGCTAAGCAAAGGCTGTACAAATTGGACATTTCAGTGACCGTGGGGAAAACTGGTTTGACAATTTAAAGATGAATTTAAAAGCTAACCAATCTTTTACCTGATATTTCCCCCCTACTCTCAGAGTACTGTGTTAGGTAATATTAAGTACTTTGAGCTATCTAACTTCATATCGAAACTATATTAAAGCAAACTTTATTATAAATCTGTTAGCATTATTATTACCATTTGTAATGATGCCTTAGATTTATCTACTCCTTCTAACTCAAAAAGTTCAATGTGTTTTGACACATGAGCTTATGTGTGTTTTTTTCATTTTTAAAATTTATTTTAGAGAGAAAGGGAGAGAGAAACATCAGTGTGAAACAGCGACATCCATCGGCCACCTCCCGCATGTCTCCCAACAGGGTGGGGGTGGGGTGGAACCGCCCCCCGGCATGTGCCCTGACCAAGAACAGAATCCTCCACCCTTCGGAGCACAGGACAATGCTCCAGCCAGTTGAGCCACCCTGGCCCCGGCTGAACTTAGTTAATCCCACATCTCTTTTCCACAAATTGGGTGTAGGTGTTCTTGTTTTGCAAATTATATAACAGCCACTTGCCTGTACTGAGAAACTATGGTCCAGTAAATTAAACACTTCAGTTCATACACATTTGCTATGACATGCTTGATGTGTTTCCTTTTTCTCAACTTTCCCCTTCTTTTAAGAAGAGAGATCCACCTAAATAGGATGTGGGAGAGATGACTCAATGACTTTAATCTGGGTCACGATCTCTCCAAATTTGTTTATTTGTAAAATGGAAATAACACCTCGTAAGACCTCATAACACTGCTAGAGAATAAAACAAAATAATGATGGCTACAATGGCGAATAAGGTAAAATTTGTTGCTGCATCATTTCTAACTACTTGTAAAGGAATAGAACTTAGTTCCTTATATAGTAACTAAGCTAAAGTGCACTTGATGATATCAGTATACTTGAACTATACTATTCAAAGAAACACATGTCTGTTTATTGAGAAGCAGAATAACTAGTTTTTTTAACCTTTGAACTTACAGACAGTAAATAAAAGGGCCAACAAGTAGAGCAGGATATCAGAAGCAATCTACCCTATTACCTCAGACCCAAATGTAAAACCAAGAACACAATACAGCCATCTTTCAACTGACTGGGTTATCCACTCAATGAATTACTTAAGCCTGGATTGGCAAACAGAGTTCACCTTGCCTGCCAAACCTCAGTGATTCCTAATACTTGCCTAGAGTACTGTGTTAGAGGATGGTTGAGTTCATATCCAGACTCAGAAAAAGTGTCCAACTGATTAGGAATATCTACCAGAGATTTGAGAGTGGGGGGAAGTATCTGTTTTCTCTGACGGCCATTTAACTCTCCCTATCTGATCTTTCATTATTTTGCTTCTCATTAGCATTTCCAACAGATAATTATATTTTGTTAGCCGCTTAGGCAAAAACCTTAGAAAAGAAGTTGGAATTACTGGATGAGGCAATAATGGGGTTGGTTAATACTTACCAAATCAGCACAAGGTACAGAAAATCCTGCAGTGCCTGGTATGGATCTAAAATATGTATGTCATCCCCAACAATATAACAGTAACACTATCTTTCTAAGAATGCTATATAATGAATCTTAATCAAAAGTAATTTATAGGGTCATTGTATGCTACATTTCAAATTAGTCTTTATATGGAAATTGTGTGCATTTTGGGAGCAATTAGAATCCTATCTTGAATATAGCTGTTCAAACAAAGAAATACTACAATGAAAAAGTGGATAAATCTTACGTAGAGAATAGTTGTATAAGCCACCAATCAGAGTAGAATTGAGCTAGAGTTTAAAGTTTAGACCTACATTTAAAACTACCTCCATCCCTTAAGAGCTAGATTTACCCTTTGTAAAATGTCTTAACACCTCTGAGCCTTGGTTTTGTGGGGTTAGATGAACTGAAATATGTTAACTATCATGTAATAACTGACTCTCCCCAATCTCATATAATCAAACAAGCAATGACTATATGGCATCTCAATCTTCTTTATGAAATCTTTCTGGAAGATAGAAAGCACCCCTTACTGTTACTAAGTAAGTGTGAAATCAGCATTGCCTTTTTGTCCTACTACATGCTTTAGGTTTCTCATTCTCCATCACCAAACTTCTTGAGGTCAAGAAAGAGAGGCTAAGAACTGACTGTACTGACTCAGTAAAAAAGAGTGAGTAGAGCTAAGAGAAGGTTTTGGGCAGGGTCCTTGAGAGAAGAACCTTCCTGCCTTGGAAAAATGGATAATAAGTGAAACCCTAAAAAGTGATAAACAATTAGTCAATCCATCCTGGTATTAATATACCTAAATTACTACTTAAAGAAACATATTTTTGTTTATTGAGAAGTTGAATAACTAGTTTTTTACATCTTTAAAAGTAAAGAGACTAGTAAAAGTGGCTGATAAGTAGGGCAGGATATCTGGAGCAATCTACATATGAGCCTTGGTCCAAAGAGTCACTATTACCAAGTACAGCACTGTTTGCTTACCACAAAAGAGATGTCCACAGTTTGTTTCCACAGGGTAGGAGGCTTGATGTAAACAGACTGGACAGTACATGTCAGTGTAAAACTGCTGTCGAGCAGCAGCAGGAGCATCCTGATGAGAAAAGGTGTATACATTTACTCATGAAACACAGGCTTTTCAAAGTTCTATTATGTTCAGCTACACTTAAGAACGTAGCCAATGCTGTGTAGTCCTCATCAAAGTTGAGTTTTGCAATAGTTTAAGGTTTTATAAGTTTCATAAAGTTAATTTTTTCTAAACTTGCTGAAGAAATATTTAAAGTTATAAATATTGTTGTTTTACTTATAAATTGCATGGTCTCTACCTTCTTTCCTGAACACAATTTAAAAATAAATACCTAGGATAACTTAGGAGTTTCTCTTTTACTCCAACAGAATGAGTAACACAAGGCTGAGCTAATGCATAAATGAAGGAAAAGAAATGTCAAACTGTTTCCGAAATATTAACTTTTTTTTTCATTTTTAATATATTTTTTTCATTCATACATTCCCGACCAGTGTTTAGCTACTTATTTAGCCAAGGTCGCACCTTGAAGTTATAGTGTTTTATATCATTTTTAATGGTGCAAAAAAGAAAAACATACAGCACTCACTGTTTCCCCCCTACCTTTTCTCTCATTATTCTTTGGGAATTAACTCATGAAAAACCAGTTACCAGTGCTGTCCAACAGAACTTTGTGCAATAATGGAAATTTATTTTTGCTGTCCAATATGATAACCATTTGCTATAAATGGCTAATGAGTACTTGAAATATGGCTAATGTGACTAAAGTACTGAATTTTTAATTAATATTAGTTAATTTAAAATTAAGTAGCTATGTGTGGAGTACGACAGCACAATATAAGTTACTAGCTTATTTTAATCAAGCTATGGAAGGTATGCAGTACATGCATAGGAGAGTGGTAAAAAAGAAAAGAAAGAAAGAAAAAAAAAGGAAGATCCCCCGCAGTCTGGAACTCCTGTACATGTAGATCTAGTCATGTAACCCTAAGAAAATCTTAGTGATCTAATATGCTAAATGAGAATAATGTTGCCTTTCTTATGACTGAAGAGTAAATAAGAATAGTATGTGAATCATTTTGTGAAATACTAAACACTATCCCAGCATGAATTATGGATAACAACAGCTCTGGAACAGAGTACTACTAACATGCTTAAACTATTTTTGCATCAATTAATTTAAGTTCTATGAAGCAGGAATTCTTGTGTGTTTAGTTCAGAATTGAATTCCCAATTCCTAGAACACTGTCTGGCATATAGTGGATTTTCAATAAATATTTGGTGAATGGATAATCAATAAAACCCTGTTTGGAATTAAAGTTTGCTTGGTGGATAGAAAATCAACTTTTTAAAGTTTGTTTTTTGATGTGAGCTATACATGAAGGTGTACAAAATCCTACTTAATCCAGCCTTCATGAAACATGTTACATTTCTGGATCAGAGAGTCCATCTGGTTACAAACAAAGACAGCCTGACCGGTTTGGCTCAGTGGATGGAGCATAGGCCTGCGGACTGAAGGGTCCCAGGTTTGATTTCCAGTTAAGGGCATGTACTTTGGTTGTGGGCACAACCCCAGGAGGGGCTGTGCAGGAGGCAGCTGATCAATGTTTCTCATTGACGTTTCTAACTCTCTATCCCTCTCCCTTCCTCTCTGTAAAAAATCAATAAAATATATATTTTTAAAAAACAGGGCAAATGAGAAAACTTCTCTTTTCTTTTTTTTTGCCTAACTAGTTTTCTTAACTTTGAATGCTGAAGAAAAAGAGAAAAAGTCACTCTTTAGAGTCATTTCTTTATAGGTCTTTGAGAAATATACATTAGAAAGAATAGTTTTTCCACTACATTTCGCTAAAGCCAATTATACAATGATTATTTCCCCACAAATAAATAAAAGGAAAACTGCTGTTTTTTAAAACAAGTTAAAAAATATATAAAAACACCTGAATAGATTTAATACTAGTCATTTGCCTAATCTGAAAATATACAATTGATAGGATAATTTAAGGTCTTAAAGCAGGAAGAAGCTTATGTTTCCAAAAGGCAATTCATTAATATTTCATCACAATTTCATCCGAAAGGGAGTAATAATGTCTACTTCTTGCATAAATGCACACAGTACCTGTTCTGTTTGAAGTTGTTCCCGAAGCACTCTTATTAGTTCTTGGTTTTCTGGGTGAATGTTTTGATGTGCATTTCTGTTGAATAAAATACAATAAACTTTGAATATAAAATACTGTCAGGTGAATCAGTTTTCTTTATGGGTCTAATTTTTGACCCAGAATTACTGGTAACTAAATAAATGTAAATGATAGTGGACAACTGTACTCCACTTCTAGGACTGAACACTCCAGGCTATTCTGAGATCCCTGATTATTGGCCCATTTCGGGTTTAACTGGCAAATGATGAAATCCAGAGACCGAGTACCTTGGATTTAATGTAACGGCAGACTTACAAATAATCAAAGAACAATGAACACATTTAATTCTTTTGTACAATTCCTTCCAAATAAGCAGCTATGTAAATCTATTAAGCATTTGAACACTTTTCCATATCTAACTAAGTCATTCTCCCAACTTTTTAATCTATGGTAGGTGGGGGACAGAGAAATCAAAAACTAATATTATAGCCTGTCCACCTATGAACCAGGAGGTCCCAGGTTTGATTCCCGGGCAGGGCATGTGCCCAGGTTGTGGGCTCGATCTCCAGTGCAGGAGGCAGCTGATCAATGATTCTCTCTCATCATTTATGTGTCTATCTCTCTCTCCCTCTCCCTTCCTCTCTGAAATCAATAAAAATATATTTTTTTTAAAAACAACTAAATGTTTCGATAGAAATGCCAAAAGCTAACATACCACTATCTTAACATTAACAATTAAACTGGATACTCAAAGGCAAGAAGATAGTGACTGATATAATAGGATGGGATAAGACAATGAGTATTGAAAATTAGAAATACTTAGGTTATCTGGTTGGGGGTGAAGATTTATAGCTGAATTATGGCTTAATTTCACTGGACTGTAAAAGTTTTTCCTAAATTAAAACCTCATTAACAGCAATATGTTAAGTCCACACAATCCTGGTGTTACTCTATAGAGGACCCTTTACTCTCTGGGTGAACCAATATCCAACAGCAATAAGAATTCTAAATTAATATTCCAATGCGATAAGGAAATTTAAAGAAATCCATCCTATGATTATTCAATTTTTAGTAAAAAAAAAAATCAAAGTTTAGCCCTGGCTGGTTTGGCTCAGTGAATAGAGCATCGGCCTGAGGACTGAAGGGTCGTGGGTTTGATTTCAGTCAAGGGCACACGCCTGGGTTGTGGGCTCGATCCCCAATAGGGGTCGTGCAGAAGGCAGACAATCAATGATTCTCTCTCATCACTGATGTTTCTATTCTCCCTCTCCCTTCCCCTCTGAAATCAATAAAAAATATTTGAAAATAATTCAAATTTTAGAAAAGAAATCTGATTAAATATAACTATTATTTCAGAGAAGACATAGAAACAATTTAAAGTCAAATATCTAATCAGAAGTTCAGTATAAATGTAATGTAACTCCAGTTAACCTTTGATATAACAAACTTTGGTTTTAATTGGAAAAATTTCTGGTCCTTAAGTAGTATGTGAAAATGAATACATTGTTAATTTAAAATGCTTTTTTCCAAGATTTACTTATAATTAGATTAACAGGTTATTTTTTTGTTATTAATTCACTGTTTTGGTTTGTTTTTGTAATTTTTGAATATTTTTTCTTTCTTAAGAAAAAATACACATACGTGTCCTTATCTCACAATAGTCCCTCAAACCCCCCCACCCCCCAACCCGATGCTCTCACCCCTCTGGTGTCTGTGCCCATTGGTTAGGCTTATATGCATGCATATAAGTCCTTTGGTTGATCTCTCTCCCTTATTCCCACCTTTTTAAAACAAATTTTAGCAAATGGGCCATATGTTAGAAAAAACACTAGTAATTTTGCTGACATAAATAAATATTACATTTCTACAACTATATCTACATATTTAAATCCAAGAAGCATCACTGGTAAACAATATTCAGCAAATGATTAGCACATGACCACACTACGTCGCTCATAGTAATTGGCTTTGTTATCGGGTTGGGTGACTTTCTGCAGCAGTCTTAATGCACACTAGCAATGCTGACGTGCACTGAGCCACGCCCGAACCATGTCATTTGTTTACTTCAGATGACTGGTGAATGCATGGATTTATTACACCTATTCAGTATAAATTTAAAACCACTGTAATATAGGAAACTATTCTGTAAAATTAAACTTTTCATATATACTTAATTTTAATTACACAAACATGCTTACCTAAGTAAAAACAGGCAAACTAATTTGTCAATTTTTAAACATACACATTCAGAAAACCTACTTAATTATATAACAGCCTTTCAGCTTTAACAGACACCACCTCGCCTGTTAAATCGAAGTTTTACCATATATATATATATATTTTTTTTTTTCTTTTTCTCCATGTGTTAACACTTAAATTTCTAGTTTCTTACTAGTCTCTGTATATTGGTATATACAATAGCAGCAATTTTCAAAAATTTTCATCTCATGGCACATATAAACTAATTACTAAAAATTCTGCAGCACACCAAAAAATATTGTATTTTTTGCCAATCTGACCAAAAAAAAAAAAAAAAAAAAAAAGGAATAATTTTGATTCTTTCAAACTGAATGGCTATTGTTGTGTTGGCTGCTATCATTTTTTTAAATTTCAGAATCTGAGGGAAAAGAGGTCAGTGTCCCTGAGTAAATAGTCAGGTATTGGAGTTTTAAAAGTTCTTATGACACATTGGCTGAAAATCACTGGTATATATGGTAGACATCTGAGACTTTTAAGTATTATTTCTGACAATACTTAACAATATTGTCAAAAAAGTTGTAACAATAATTTTATTTCTAATCTAAAGTCCCTATCTATATATATAAAAGGCTAATATGCAAAGTGTCCACTTGGGAGTTCAACCACTCACTATGATGCATGCTGACCACCAGGGGGCAATGCGGAACATAGGAAGGACCCGGCAGGCAGCCGGAAAGCCCCAATTGGCTCTGATCCTTGGCCAGGCCTAATAACCCTACCCATGCATAAATTTTGTGCACCAGGCTTCTAGTATACTATAAAATGGGTTTTCCTTTTTTGCCTTAATTTTATATTTAAACACTGAAAATATTTTGTATTTATTATATCACCTACAAGTCAATGGATTCAATTATGAAAATTACATTTTCAAACAGTGATACTCCTACAGAAAATATTAATACTTTACTCAAAATATGATAATAAATGTAAATTTATCTGATAAGACAGCTAATATCAGGGAATGTATGGTAGTATTTAGGGCCTTGTAGAAAATAAAACACTTTAGTAAGTATATAAAATTTAGTAAATAAAAAATTGCTGAGATTTATTACTTGCTTTTCATATTAAGTATTAAGCATTCTAGAAGCAGTCAGAAAATCTGTGGCCCTAGGAAATATATATTATTTCAATTCTTTTGTCCTTTAGTCTCACCTGAAAAGTGCATATACCAGGGTAGCAATCAAAGCGAAACTGACCACAACTGCCACAAGTACTTGGTCACTTACTCCTTCTATGACTGAATCATCGTCCAGTTTCAAACTTTGAACTTCACCCTGATATTTGGCCATTCCAGGTCTAAAAGATAAAAAAGAAAAAAAGAAAAAAAAAAAGATGAAAGTTACAACTGACACAGTGAAAAGAAAATATACTAATAAAAATCCTATATACTAAAGAGCTAATATGCTAATTAAACCAGACAGTGGAAATACCTTCTGGAATGATTAGTGGGTGGGGGACAGAGCCGCAGGGCCACGAGGCAGCTGGGGCTGTGAGATAAGGGCTGAGGCTGCCAGGGCTGCAAAGGCCTACTCTTGCACGAATTTTGTGCATCAGCCTCTAGTATAAATATAATTGACTTTTAACATATTTAAATTTTATTGTAGTACTCAGTTAAAGTAGGTTGTATTGAATACAACTCCAGTGTGGATAGCCCCATTAATGAGTTCTTTAAAATTAGCCAGACATAGAAACACCAATCAGAAAAGATATATGAACCCCTATGTTCATAGCAGCACAATTCACCACAGCTAAGATTTGGAAACAGCCTAAGTGCCCATGAGCAGATGAGTACACTAAAAAACTGTGGTACATCTACACAATGGAATACTATGCTGCTATAAAAAAGAAGGAACTTTTACCATTTGCAACAGCATGGATGGGACTGGAGAGCATGATGCTAAGGGAAATAAGCCAGTTGGAGAAAGATAAATATCACATGATCTCACTCTGGTGTGGGATATACTAATCAACAGAAATTGATGAACAAGAATAAGAATAGATCAATCTAGAGGCAAAGGGTAGGGGATGGAGGGTTAGAGAGCAACCAAAGGGCTTGTATGCCTGCATATTAGCATAACCAACAGACACAGACACTGGGGCAATGGGGGCTTGCCAGGGCTGGGAATGGCTGGTGGGGGGGGCGGGGAGAGGAGTAGAAAGGAGACACTGGGGAAAGTCAATTGGGGAAAAGGAAATATATGTAACACTTTAGACTAGGGGTGTCGAACTCAATCAGAGAAGGGGCCAAAATCTAAAATCCAGCCTAAATCGCGGGCCGAATGGTTTACTGAACAGTCATAAACTGTCATTGTGATGGAAACGCAGCGGAGTGCAGTGATGACAGCGTGGTGCGGGCCACATTGCAAGGCCTGGCGGGACGGATTTGGCCCGCGGGCCTTGTGTTTGACACATGTGCTTTAGACAATAAAATAAAATAAAAATTTGCCAGACATTATTTTGGAGAGTACAGAATTCTATTTCCTATAAGGAAAACAATTACTATAATTTATCATCCATTTACATTTTTTAAAACAAAATTTAAAAAAATACCCTTTTCAAGTGTAGCTCCTTTCATAAAAAACAAAACAAAAAAACAACTCCTGCCCAACTGTTATTTTATTATTCTTTAATACCACATAAATTCTCCAAATAGATCAGACCCCTCTTCTTCCTCATAGACTAAATGTTCATCACAGAGTTGATCACGTAGGGGTAGAGAAGAAAATATTGTCTTTTCTGTACGTATCCCTATATTACTTAGCATAGTGCCCTAGGCACAGCAGGATCTAAAAAAATATGTTTAAATAAGAGTGATTTACCTTACTTATCTTATAGTATTAGTAATCCTATCTAATAAAAAGGGAATATGCTAATTGGCTGTCCCGCCCTCAAAGTTGGCAGTGCCCAGTCCCCTCAGCCCTGCTGGGGCAGCAGGCTCTGTGCGCCAGCCTTCAGAGTCCCCCAGTTCCCTCAGCCCCCTAGCCCCTCAGGTCCGCCTAAGGCTCAGGTAACCAGGGCCGGCCGAGGCTTGTGCTGCCAGCAGTGGCAGCAGCAGAGATGTGATGGGCTGTGGTCTTCCCCTGATTGCCAGGTCACCTCCTGCCTGAGGTCTCCCGGATTGTAAGGGGGGCAGGCCGGGCTGAGGAGACCGCCCCCCTTCCTTACAGTACATGAATTTTCATGCACCATGCCTCTAGTTTGAAAAATAAAAGACAATGAGGCTATAGGACATTCATAGCTATACTAAGACTACTTGAATTAATGAAAATTCTGGTGCTTGAAAAACTAATAGCCTCACCTGAGACTAAGCTCAGCTTATGGTTCAGAATTCTTTGACCTATCTGGAATATGGAATCGCTCTCAGGCTGCATTTCCTTATGAAGAGAAAAGGGAAGATATGAAACTCTCCTCATAGACAACACTAGAGAGAAATGATCACACCCAATTTCTATAGGTATAAGGAGAGAGAGCCCAACCACATCAAACTCCAAATGTCATAGGTAATTCAGGTTTTTCAGATGGCAAAACAGAAAAGTTCAAAGACTTATAAGATACCTAAATGAAAATAAAAGAAATAAAGATTTGATTAAATATATAGAACTATTTAGAGCCAGCAGACAGCTCTGGTGGGGGTGGAGTAGAGGGATTGAGCAAAAAGAAAAAAAAAGGGAGAGAGAGAGAGAGAGGGAACTGATAGACATGGACAAGTGTGGTGTTTTGGGGTGGTAAGGAGGAGGTTGGGTGGAGGTGGAAGAAGGCATAGAGGGAATAAATGATGGAAATTTTAAAAAATAAAATAAAATTCTGTATTTATGTAACTTACTGCATGAAAAGAGTTTTTAGTCAATATCATCAATCAGGAGACTCTCTGTTAAGAGGAATCTTTGAAAGAATCTGAACTCACTGCTTGTAAGAAAATTACCTCTCCCTGAAGAAACTTGAGCAAACAAACAGATCAAAGGCGGCTTCCCTCAGCTTTTCACATAATAATGGGCTAATATGTGAGGGACTTTCTAATGACAGGTTTCAGATATCCATGATGAAGGCTCACACCAGGAAACTCAGAGCAAAGAGCCTTAACTTCAGTATTTTTATCCAAAAGAACAGTCAAATGAACTGCCAACTGAAACTGAAGAAAGAGCCTCATATAAGCTAGGAGTGAGCCATGGAGTCAATTTAGATTTTTATTTTATCAGATTTCCTCTTTTTAAATTAGAGATGTCATGGCTCTGTTAAAAGGCCTAAGTGGGGACTACTTGCATCTGCTCAAAGATAACCAAACTGTAATCCCTGTGTTGAGAGTCCCAGCCCCTAATTACCGAATCAAATTATTTCACAGTTGGGAGGATCTTCTATGCTATACACTTAGGGAGTTTACCACTTTGTACTTTTTAAAAAAATGGAATGATTACATTTGTTTCTATGTCCTTCCAGGTGTATTTGGTGGCAATGTGACTAAATTCTACTGTACTATTTGTTGTTGTTGTTAATCCTCACTCAAGGATATTTTTCCCATTGATTTTAGAGCAAGGGCTCGGGGAGAGGTTAGGAGGGAGGGGAAGAGAGAGAAACATTGATGTGAGAGGACACATCAGTTTGGTTGCCTCCTGCACACACCCCAATGGGGGCAGGGATCAAACCTGTAACCCAGGTATGAGCCCTTGGCCAGGAATCAGACCTATGACACTTTAGTGCATGGGCCAAACTTTACCCACTTAGCTACATCGTCTAGGGCCTACTATACTAATTTTATTTATTTTTTATTTTAAATAAAGTATAATATACCACATCTTAATTCACACTAGCCACATTTTAATTTTTTTTTTTATTGATTTCAGAGAGGAAGAAAGAGGGAGAAATAGAAACATCAATAATGAGAGCAAATCACTGATCAGCTACCTCTTTATGCCCCCACTGGGTCCGAAGCTGCAACCTGGCATATGCCAGACAAGAACTATGAATTAAACCATGACCTCCTGGATCATAAGCCAACGCTCAATCACTGTCCCACACTGGCCCCGCCTAATTTTCTCTCTCTCTTATATATATTTATTCATATATATGCGTGTGTGTGTGTGTGTGTGTGTGTGCATGTGTGTGTGTGTGTGTATGACTTCCACATAAAATTACTCCCTTAAGATATTGCTTCATATGAACACTTCCAAGAGCTCAAGAGACCCAGGCAGAATATGTTCAGTACTGCACAGTGATATAATGTTACTTGTTATCATTTTTATAGAAGTTCCCAAGGTTATTGAAATGAGTTATTTTTTATTTCCACAAATTCCAGTACTACCAAAGAAGGTGCTTGGGCTGAGAAAGGGTAGGATGGGAGACTGCTGATAAATGTCTGAGAAGCACAGAGAAGTCAGTGGCATTTTCTTGTCATGTGGAATCCCTACCTAAACCTAGGGGCTCTCGTAGGGAGAACTACCCTGTTTCCCGGAAAATAAGACAGTGTCTTATATTAATTTTTTCTCCCAAAGTTGCGCTAGGTCTTATTTTCAGGGGATGTCTTATCTTTCCATGTGCTAGGTCTTATTTTCGGAGGATGTCTTATTTTCGGGGAAACATGGTACTAATGATAACTGAGGCCTACTTGTTGGGAGCTTCAAAAGTAGTTTCACTTATAATCCTACATAATAAAAGGCCAGCGACAATAACAGTGTAACAACCAGAAGGACTGGTCGACCAGTTGCTATGAGGTGCATTGACCACAAGCTTGGTCCCTCCCCGCAGCCTGCAGGCTCCATTCACCAGATGGCTAACGGAACCACAGGGAACTCTGTGTGTGTGTGTGTGTGTGTGTGTGTGTGTGTGTGTGTGTGTCAGTGGCTGATGGGACTGGGGACTGGCAAGCAGGCAGAAGGGAGATCTCTTGGTCCCTCCTTGGGCCCGCAGGCTCCAATCACTGGATGGCGAACGGGGAACCAAGGTGGGCAGCAGCGGGTGGGACTGGGGACTGGTGAGCAGACAGAAGATGGTCCTGAGTGCAGAATAGACTTAGGGACCCTACCCGCACACCATTTCTTGCGCTGGGCCTCTAGTCAGAGTATAAAAAAGGAACAGAAGGATCTCTTACCCCTTGAGACAGCATGGAGGGACATGGAGAGTATTATGCTAGACGAAATAAACCAGTCAGAGGAAGACAAGTATCACATGTTCTCACTCAAATGTGGAATCTAATGAACAAAATAAATCAAGAGACACAGAAGCATGGAACAGCCTGAGGAATCTGAGAGGGAAGGCGGGGATAGGTGGGAAGAGATTAACCAAAGAACTTATATGCATATATGCATAACCCATGGACATAGACAGTAGTGTGGTGAAGGCCTGGGGTGCAGGTGGGTGCAGGCTAGAAGGGGTCAGTGGAGAAAAAAGGGGACACAACTGTAATACTTTCAACAATAAAGATTTAAATAAAAAATAACTGCAGGAGCTAGTGGCTCAAAAATGAGGAATTAAAATATTACCTTAGTTTTGAAAGAAGCAAATTTAAGATTATAGGGGATAAACAATAGAAAGAAGATTTTCTACTGGAGAAGATGACAATAAACCTCAATCCTGCTAATGAATTCCCAAGTTGATCTGAGCTTCAATTGTCCGACTTTTGCTTTTCACAGTCAGTTTTTATCTAGAACAGAACAGTGCTATCAATTGTGCCCAACATCATAGTTCTCAACTGAAGCCCAAGCATTGCCTGGAGTTTAGCTCCAATTCTGCTACTACAATTGTGACCCTATTTAATCTCATAGGACCCCTCATTTACTGCAAAAGGGAAAAGCTAGACCTGAGGATTCCTTAATTTCGTCCCACCACTACATTTTTATGATGCAGGGTTTTTGCAATAGAAAAAATAAAGTTAAAAAAGATAAATACCAAAGGTTAAAGGGACTACAAGTGGGGAGGACTGGAAAAGACAGATCTTAATCTTTCCCAAGAAAACAGTTTTATAGTTTGAATTCTTTTTAAGTATATATTACTTTAACAATAAAAATAAAAGTCAGTGCCTGCTTCCCCCTGTGAGAGATGAAAATTCGGTTTAAGTGCTCAGATTTAAATCATCTGTCTCAGTCTCACTCTTACCTACCACCTGTTTCTTGATGGTGTCTTATAAAGATCTCAGTGAGTACACTGGGAGGCAAACATACTGACTACATCTTATTCCCTTGAGCAGTGCACGGGGAATATCACATGTTATAGCAGCTACTAAATGCAGCTTACTTCAAACCCAAAAACAAGGTTAATAAATTTATAGAACATGGTATCTAATCTATTTCATAGGTTCCTGTCAAATATAAAAATGTGTTGATAGCATTGTTTTTAACTACTAGAGATTTATAGAAACAAAATACTGTATATGTTGGAAACTGTGTTGATAATTGATAGGATAATTATAGAAGCACAACTAATTTCTAGCTTTGACTTTGTTATTGCTTAGCTGACTAAATCTTCGGAATATACTTTAATATATCAAAGAAGCATAAACTTTGGAGTCAGACAACCGTGTGCATAAGTAAAATCTGAATCTCAGCTTCCTTATCTGTAAAATATATAACATTAATTTGAACCATATCAAACAGCCACTTTTTGGCAAAAAAAAAAAAAAAAAAAAAAGCACCTTGTTTTATGGAGTTTACAGAATAACAAAGAAAACACATTCAGCATATTGCTTGGCACATTATATAGGTTCTCAGTAAATGGGAGTTATAATTATTTTTCTTTCTTTAATCCTCACCTGGTGAAATGTTCACCTATTTTTAAAGAGAAGGAAAGGGAGAGAGAGAGAAAAAAAAATTGATTGGTTGCCTCCCCCAGTAAGGATCAAACCTGAAACCTAAGTATGTGCCCCAACCAGAATCGAACCCAAGACCCCTTGGGGTACAAGACTATGCTCCCACAAATTAAACCTCACCAGCCAGGGCAGAGCTATAATATTTTGATTATTGTTATTAACAGTTATTAACAACTGTCAAGGAATCAGCAGAACCATGATAAAACTTAGCCATACCTTTCCCATAGCTGCATTATATAGCATCTCAAACTGCCTTTAATCAAAGCTCTAAGTAGGTACTCCCTGGGAAGACAGGATGAACTTGGGAACATTACCATGCAGGGCACCATGTTTACTTGAACATGATAAACAGCTGTAGATGAGAACTAACCTGAGAAAGGAGACAGCTAAGTTCCACTCCCTTCTCTTTGGTCTTTTCCAAAAATTTCAAGAAACACACACACACACACACACACACAACTAAGGAAAATACAGGAAATTCCAAAACTTCAAAGGATAAACTCATTGTCTTTGTACCCAAGCTCATGTAGGAATGTGACGGCCACCTGGCTTCTGCAGACAATTACTGACGTCTGCCAAGCTTTTAAAATAATTTCCTTCATGGAAGGAAACTGGAGCTACACAATGAAACCTCGATACTGTACTATCATGCATTGGGACTAGCAATCTGACATGAAAAAGGAGATTTTAGTCAACTGTGTCAAGTCTTGAAAACTTGAGCAGCTGGAAGATAGGGGCTCTCTTCACAACAGACCTTCCAGAAAGTCTAGCATTTTGTTTTCCTCTACATCCCACAAGTTACAGGGGAGTCAGACTCACCTACTAATTTTGCATGCCTAACACGGGTAATGGTTTTGGTCACTTTAAGTGCAAGGGCTTCCACAGAAACTGGCTTGTAGGAAACCTGGTTTGACAAAGATCCACAAGGCATCAAAGGAAACAGCCAAGTGAGATACCTATTTGTTATTTCTCTACCCCTTAGTGTAAGGAAGAATGTTTAAAAGAAAGACCATTGAGAAGACTTCAAGAAAGATTTTTTACATTCACATAATGAAAAATCATCATACGAATTGTGAACTGGTACTCTGAGTCTAAGGCATTATTAAAGAGTAAGTATTGCCCTGGCCACTGAGGTTCAGTTGGTTGGAGCATCATCCCCTATGCCAGAGGTGGTGGGTTTGATTCCTGGTCAAGACACATACCAAGGTTGTGGGTCCCATTCCCACCAGAAGCAATCCATCAATGTATCTCTCTCTCTCTTGCCCCCCCACCCCCCAAAAAAAGTCAGTGCCAGCTTGATTGTTCTGAATGCTCACTGACAAAACCTATCGATACTTTTAATGAGGAAAAAAAAGGGGCTCCAGGAACTGCAAACCAAAACAAAGATATATCCTGGGAAGTTAAATTTGCTGCACCTCCAATAAAAGTTTGGCATCATCTGGTAAAGTTATGCACACCCTATGACTCAACAATTCTCCCTGGACTCTAAGGCATGTATTCTAAAAAAAAAACACACCTCTTACACATTTGCAGTAGTATCTAAGCTTAAGACTGCTTAAAGCATTATCCTTAGTATATCCCCAAACTGGAACAACAAAATGCCCATCAAACAGTAGAATGGATACAGTTATAGTCACACAATGGAATACTAGACAGCAATAAAAGTTACCTACAAAACATACAAGTCCACCAGTAATTCAAAGCCACAAAATAATAACAATAGGATCCCACTCATCAAAGTTCAAAAACAGAGAAGCAAAACTATATTGCATACCTAAGGTGACAAAACTATTAAGAAAAAGCAAAAAAAAAAAAAAAAAAAAAAAAAAAAAGGCACAGTTTAGGGAGGAAATTGTGCTCAGAAGGGAATGCCAAGTGTGGGTGGAACTCCGAAGGTGCCAGCAATGTTCTGCTTTTTATCTGGGTGTTTTACTATCAATTTTAAACATGTATTGGTATGCAATTCTCCGCCTGTCCTATAGCATAAAAATGTATCGGTAACCCTGCAGAGATTCACGCCTCCAAAAAGGTGAGCGCTGGGGACGATCCACCTGGCCATAAGGATGAAGGCCAGCCCTTAGCGGCAGGACTCCGGGAGAAACAGGCCCCAGGAACTGTCGGGTCCGCACGGATCCGCGAACTGGGGCACACCCTCTCCCTTCTCTATGGAACTGAAGTTTTCAGGGGGCTGAGGATCCACGAGACCCAATCAGGGCGGCGGGCTCTCCTCCTCGCCGGCCAAGCCCACCTAGAAATAGCCGAGTCCTCGCCCGCCACTCCGGCCCTTGCACCGTCTCCGAGATTCCGGGCGAGACCGGGCTACTCTAGGGCTCTGCCCGGGCTTCCTGAAGGGAAGGCGCAGCCCCCCGGGGTCCCAGGCAGGTGACGCCGGGGCACTGCCGCCCACGCCGAGCCCCGCTGGCAGCTCCCGGGGCGGCCGGGACCCTGGTGGGCGTGGCCGGCCGCGGGCCGGGAGGGTGGGTAGGGGGGCGCGTACCTCTCCACCGCAGAGGATACCTCGCCAACTCCCGGTGACTGAGGGCAGAGATTATTTCCGGGGACGGCCCCCGCCTCCCTTCCCGGGCGACCACTAGCTGTCTCCTTCCCACTTTGGAGTCCGGGCGCGGGCGCACGCGCATTGCCGCGCTTCCGTGAGGACACGCGCGGAGGACCCGCCGCCGCCGCCAGGGCCCGGCGCGCGCGCGCACCCAGACGTGCAGGAGTGGGCATGGGTGGGGGGCGCGCGCGCGCACGCGCGGGGGTGGCCAGGAGGCGCGCGCGGGGGCGGCCGGGAGGCGGGCGGGCCGGAGCGCGGCTGCGGCTGCGCGCAGAGCCCCGTGGGCCGCGGCTGGACCGGGGCTTAGGGGCGGGGACGCGGGGCTGCGGGCGTGGCCGGGAGTGCGCGCGCGCGCAGCGCAGCGGACGCGCGTCCTGAGTGAAAGGAAAGGAGGGGCACCGGGGTGACGGTGCGGGAGCCGCTGCCATCGCCGGACGGGACTCGGCGGCCCGGGCCCAAGGGCAAGGTGGGCGAGAGGCCAGATCCGCTCCCCGGACCCTCGGACGCGGCCCCGGCCCGAGCGGCTGCGCTTTCTGGCGAGGTTGGGGAGGCGCCGCCGGCCCCAGCAGGGGAAGATGTTCAACGTGGAGTCGGCGGAGCGGGTGGAGCTATGCGAGAGCCTTCTCACTTGGGTATGCGATAGCCGGCAGGGCCGGGAAGACCCCCCCCTCCCTCAGACAGCTTTTCCGGGATCCCCCCCACCCCTCTGTGCTCGTCGCGGGGGGCAAGTGCCCAGGACTGCGGTGCCGTCACATCCGGGGCCTGGGGCGGGCGGAGCCGGGGGGAGAAGGCTGGGGCGGCCGCGTCTGCACCGGGGCCGGGCGGGGGTCCGCGGGGAGGTGCCCGGCACGGGAGGTTCAGCCCGGGGTCCGACGAAGGCTTCCCGGGTGAAGTCTTGAGGTGTCGGCCCGGGGGAGGCTAATGATGGGGTGCAGGCGGCACTGTAATTAGGGTTGTTTGCAGCTGATGAGGCGCTGGCGCTTCTCGCTCCCGGGGACCCCGGAGGGCTTCTCCCTGCCCCCGGGGCCGCCGACGGAGGGGGCACTCGGGACCCCCGGTTGCGACGCTCCTCCTCTTTGTTGTGAGGTTCGCGGGGGATGGAGCGCAACCCCCGGAGGGTTGAGCCGGCCCCGCTGGAAAAGGAGAAGTGCTTTTAAGGGAAGGGTAGGGAAAAAGACAAAAAGGCACCCAGAAACACTGTTTAAAATGCGAGATGCACTTGAGCGATTGGAGAGGAAGCGGTGTGGAGGCAGTAACTAAAGGCAGGGAAGAGAGAGCACAGATCTGGAAGGTGGTTTGGGGCTCTGCAATGGAACTCGACATCTCTCACTGGCAACGTTGTGGAATTCTCATGTTAAATTACTCTAAACGTTTGTTGAAATCCTCACGTCCTTATGTAAAAAAAAAAAAATGTGTTCGATATGATGCCAAAATTCGTGCCTTTAGCAGCCTCTTGGAGAGCTGGACAGAAACCCCAGGCCTGGGTGTGTTTCTCGCACGGTGGTGTCAGTGCCTGGTGTGTGTGTGGACAGGTTGTCAGAGCCACAGTAGACACGTAGTGCTTCTTTCATGGAGCATTCGTCTTATTGCTGAAAATGTTAACTACCTTTTTTGTTTTTAGACTAAAACACGACTATGTTTATGGAGGTGATGAACTCATAATGTTAAAAGTAAAACACAAATGTCAAAGAAATTCTTTTAGCGGTGCCTTGGGTTATAAGTTCAGATCCCTGGAGTATAGATTTCACTGGCCTGTGTGGGGCACTCCTGTGGAAAGGTTAGAGAGACATTCCTAGGTTGGTTGAAAAAAAAAAAAAAAATAATGAAACTAGTTTGAGGGTTTCATAATTTGGCTTGTGCCATGAATCAAATTATGTCTTTTGGAACAATACATACAATGTCAGAGCTTGATAATACTCATTAACTTTTATATTAGGCCATCCTCGGGTTTTCAGAGAATGTTTGCAGTAATATTAACACACAGCTTACACCTGTAATGGATCCGGCGGGGAGATGGGTTTCACTGCTGTATTTTAGAGGAGGGAAAAAAACCCAAAAACGATAAGCTGTACAATCTGGCCAAGGTTTGACTAGGCAGAGCTGAGAGATAAAGAAAGGACATTAACACATTCTTTGATACTGTGGTTTGGCAGAGGTTATACACAGAAGATTAAGGATCTTAAGATGTTCAAAGTGGAGCTCCACGGTACAAAGTGGAGCCTTCCTCCACGCTAGAAAAAGAGGCAAGAGGGCAAAGATGAGGGAGCTAATTGAGTTGGAAGTAGGGCTGCATTGTTTCAAGTCTAGAAAGAGGTGTCATGGAAACAAAGAGGAGTATTTCAGAGCCATCAGCAAAAAAGGTGGTAGTGCAGTTATTTGACTGAGGAATGCTAATATAGTAAGAGGAAGAATCAGAGAGGGAAGTTTGAAGGGGTTACTAACAGAAGCACACAATGTGAGAGCACCTCTATAGAATCTGGTAAAATGTCAAAACAGCTAATCCAGGCTATCAGCTGTGGAGGGAGGTCACAGGAATAAGGCATTGGAGAAAGGCTTTTTGAAATGCCACTGGAAGGTTCATCAAGCAAAATTTCTGGAGAAGAGAAGATTAGAGATCAGAGTTCACACAGAGATGTACAATTCTGAGATTTGGAAACATTATAAAACATTGCACATTGAAATGTTTCCAAAGGAAGTTGAGTTTAATGCTTTGTTTGTTCTCTTTGTTATTGTAAATGTTTATGTGGAAAATGTGTGAGGTAGCTGAAAATGTACTTTGTCTCATAGCTCCCCTTATTTCTGGAGGCCAGATTAATGCTTGAACACAGTTCTAAAGTTAAATACAAGGGAAAATTGTATACAATATACTCCAAAGAAAAGATTCCCATTTACAATAATTTATTTTTATTTTTTTAAATATATTTTATTGATTTTTTACAGAGAGGAAGGGAGAGAGATAGAGAGCTAGAAACGTCGATGAGAGAGAAACATCGACCAGTTGCCTCTTGCACCCCCTACTGGGGATATGCCCGCAACCAGTGTACATGCCCTTGACTGGAATCGAACCTGGGACCCTTCAGTCAACAGACCAACGCTCTACCACTGAGCCAAACCGGTTTCGGCTTAAATATATATTTTATTGATTTTTTTTTACAGAGAGGAAGAGAGAGGGGTAGAGAGTTAGAAACATTGATGAGAGAGAAACATCGATCAGCTGCCTCCTGCACACTGGGGATGTGCCCGCAACCAAGGTACATGCACTTGACCAGAATCGAACCTGGGACCCTTGAGTCCACAGGCTGACGCCCATTTACAATAATTTATAATAATAAAAGCATAATATGCTAATTAGACCAGACAGCTGAATATCCTTCCAGATGTCCTTTGGACAAAGTTGCAGGGGCTGTGAGGACTGAGGGCAGGCAGCCTTGGTGGCAGCAGCAACAGCTGCAGGGTGATGGTGGTGGCGCCTTCCCCTGATCAGCCCGATCACCTCCTTCCCAGTAGGACATCCCCTTAGGGCTCCCAGACTGTGAGAGGAGGCAGGCCAGGCTGAGGGACACACACACACATACACACACACACACACACACAAACCCCATGCACAAATTTTTGTGCACTAGGCCTTTAGTTTGAATATAAATTCACGGACAACTTGGTTGTGTGGTTACTTTGCATAAACAAGGTAACTGCAGCACTCAGCAAAATGCAGACAGCTGTCAGTAACATAGGAGATGTAAGAACTCAAAGTTCAGTCGGGGTGATTCTGTCTGTGATCAGAGGTCTTCCATACTTCCAGTCTCTCCTTGTTCAGTTACTGAAGATCACAATTATGATCCTGAATCTCAAATAAAAGTTTAACTACATAGCATTTACTTTGAGGTATGAGGTACATAGTACATTTTAGAAGTTCTTCCACTAGAAATGGTAAAAATAAAGCTCAGCACTTAAAGGGATGGCTGTTAGTCACCTATGCAGAATTCAGTTCTGTGGAATATATCATTGCCCCAAATGCTGGTTAAAATGCTATTGTATCAAAGAGTTGAATAGTGCAAGAACCAGATGTTTCAAATTATTTTTGAAAGAGGAATGCTTATGAAAAGACATAGTATCACCCTACCAATGGAAAACATCTTAAGCTTAAATTCCAAGTCAAAGTTTATACTACAAGCAAGTTCAGCAAGATGTGCTTGAAAATTTCCACTCTACCTCCTCTCCCCACCCTCTGAGTCAAAAATGGATTCCTACCTGTTAGAAAAATTTGCCCTGCCTACTGCACCTGTCAAGCCTAATTTCTTGAACTGTACATGAAAAGATTGCTTTTTCCTAGATTATAGAGACTGAAAAACCAGAAAGAATCTGGGATGTGACCAGTTAATGACAGGAAGCTAAGTGGGAAAAGCATCATTCCATAGGCTCAGTGCATTTCTTCTGGGAAACTCAGTAACATTAACATCTCCTTATAATTCTCATATTACTTATTTAGCAGCCTATAAAATGCACACTAGTGTGTAAAATTATGGAGGATATAATTTTTATGGTGGGTATAATTTATCTTCCACATTCCATTCTCTGCTTTGTCTAAGTCCATTCCCAAACAGTTTTTGTCTTCTGATGGACAAGTAAAAAAATCAGATGTACAACAGTTAAAGCACATATACTTTTTTAAACTTTTTTTTTTTTTTAAGTTGGGGGTTGGTACAATGTGATAAGAGTATAGGTTCTGGAATTAGGCCACCTGGGTTCAAATTCTGATTTTTGTTTTATAAACTCTGAGGGTGACTTTGGACAGGTAATTTCACCTCTGTGCTCTGATTGCATTCCATTTAGATCTAAGATGTGGCTCTTATGGTCACCTTCGTTGGAATGCTCGTTAAAACACTGAATGCAAGGCTCCACGTCCAGAGTTTGTAATCCCGTAGTACCGATATTCTGCATTTCCAACACCTTTCCAGGTGATGCGATCGTTAGTAGCCTGGGACCTAACCACACTTTGAAAACCACTGCTCTACAGCAGGGTTGGTAAATGTTAGCATTATGGATGTTTTGGGCTGGATAATTCTTTGTTGTGA